TCACTTTTAGATCTAGTTAATTTAGATTTTTCGTTATAAGCTTTAGTTAGATAAGATTACTTATAATGCCTTATAAAGTTAGAAGTTAAAATGCTTTTAACTTTAATAACTTAATCTTTATTATATCTAATAGTTAAATAATTCGTATAAGTATATTAATAAAACTAATTAATATAACTAGTTATGTATAAGTAGTTAAAGTAACTAATTATATATAATTAATTATATATAGTTATAAAAATAAAATACTTATATAATATATTTAATTTATATTTCTCTCTCTTTTTCCTTATTAATAAGTAAAAAAGTCTATATAAAAAGGTTATTTTCAAATATATAAGCTAAAGATTTATTATTAAGCTTTAATTTATAGTCCTCTTTATTATATAAAGAGTTTATAATATTATTATTAGCTATAGTTACTACTAATAAGGATATTACTAGTAGTAGTAATAAAAATAAAGCTAGAAAGTTAGGAGGAAAAATAAGAGAATTTATTTTAATATTCTTATAAAAGAATAAATAAATAGGTTTTTTTTAAAGATTTAAGTAGTAGTTATAACTTATAATATAATAGTAGTTATAGTATTTTATTATGTAGAAGGAAAAAAGGAAAAGTAGTAAGAAAGGGGAATTAATAGTTTCTTAATACCTTTACCATATTTCTAGAAGTTTCTAAGAATTAATAATATAACTACTAAACTACTCTTGATTATTAATTATTAATTATTAAGCTAGAATTAGTAATTAGATTTAATAGAAAGCTTTAAAATTAGTAGTTGAGTAGTTTAGTTAAAGTAATACCTATTAATAATCTTTAATTCTAAAAACTTCTACTTCTTACTAATTAGAATTTCTAGAAACTTCTACTTATTGATTAATATTAATAATCTATACTATTAACTAATAATTATAATTAATAATATAATTAGATTTCTAATCTATATTATTAATTGAAAGTGTTATTAATATATATTAGTAATAATAGTTTCTAGAAACTTCTACTTCTTATTAATTAGAATTTCCAGATCTTTCTAATTACTAATTAGAATTAGTAAATTATATTATTTATTAATAATACTAAATACTTTATATTAATAATATAGTTAGACTTTTAATTTATATTATTAATATAGAGGACTAGTAATTAATCTTAAGAATATTCTAAAAACTAAAATCCTAAGATATATACTTTCTACTTTCCCTTACTTCTTACTTCCTAAATTACTTCCCAAATTATTATAACCTTTTTATCTAAGTAATATTACTATATTACTTATAAAAATACCTTTTTATTATATATTTTCTTTTATATAAACTTATTTATAAAGTAAATTCTTATATCTTTATATTCAAATATTTCTAATACTTAATAGTTAATAAGACCTTTTTATTATTAATATTAATAAAAAAAAAAAACTAAAAAAAACTCCGTATTTATAAGTAAGTCTTTATATAATTATAAAAGCTTTTATATCTTTATATGTAAATATTTCTAATACTTAATAGTTAAAAAGATCCTTTTATTATTATTAATAAGGAAAAAAAGAGGAAAAAACTACTTTTTCTAAGTAAGTTTTTATATAATTAGTTATACCTTTATTAACTTATACTAATATTAATATTCTAGATATATAGTTTCTTTTTTAATATAGATTATAATATATACTTATTATACTATAAAGGTAACTATAAGTTATTTATAGTTAATTAAAATAGAGTTTCTATTAGTCTCTATTATTTGAGCCTATATAATATTAAATATATTTATACTTAATAAATATATAACGCTTTCTTAATATATACTTGCTATATATATAGTTAGTATATATAAATACTTTTTTATAGTTAATTAATATAATATTAATTCTCTATAATATCTAAATGTTAATTATACTTAGTTAATATAATATAAATTTCTATTATTAATAAGTATTTAGTAAAACTAATTAATAATAGTTATAATCATTATTAATTTATTATTACTACTATTGTTATCATTAGTCATTATCATCATTAGTTATTATTAATATTAATTAATTATTATTATAATAAATATAATATTTTACTTAATTTTTATTAATTTAACTAGTTATAACTAGTTAACTAGCTAGTTAACTAGTCCTAGTCTAGTTAAGTCAATATAGTAACTAAGACTAGGCTAGTCAAGTTAAGTCAACTAAATTAGGTGACTTAAGTCTGACTAAACTAGTTGACTAACTAGTCTGAATAAATACTAGGTGACTAGTTTCCCAACCCTGGTCGGGCCTCAAAATACAGTGTTAAAAAATATGATTGCCCATTCCAAAGTAAATACACACGGTACAATTTCGCCTCTGCTACCTGGGCTTCCCGCAATGAAGGCACCTTACCTTAGGTACCTAAGGTAGGTAGGTACAGTGTAGGTATGTTTGAGATGGAAATCTCCACTGAAACCTGAGCGACCAATTCCACCATTCGTTCATCCAATTGATTCATTCATTCCACCGTAACCAAGCACCCTTCCATCAATCAGTACGTCAAGTTCACCATGACCGTCTTCGGCTCTGTGAAGGCTCGCAACGCGTTGATGGCGTTCTCGCGACCCTGACCGCTCTGCTTGCTTCCGCCGAAAGGAGCCGTCAAGAAGCAAAGGCTGACACAATTGATGCCGACCATGCCGCTCTCAAACTCGGACGCCACTCTCAGCGCCTTGTTGATGTCCTGCGTGAAAACGCCAGCCATAAGCCCGTACTCCGTGTCATTGGCTTTGGCGAGCACTTCCTCTTCTGTCTCAAACTTGTGGATCACAGCCACCGGCCCAAAGATTTCCTGCTTGTTGATCTCAGCATCCTCTTTGCCGGCCTCAAACACGGTCGGCTGCACAAAGTACCCCTTCTCGCCGACCCGTCCCCCTCCAACCAGCAGCGTACCCTGCCCCTGTTGGCCTCTCTCGATGAAGCCTCGCACTCTCTCGAATTGCGCTTTGTCAACGAGGGGCCCAATCACAGTTTCCGCCTTCTCGGGGTCCCCAACAACCTTGATCTTCTCCTCCATCGCCTTCTTGTAGCCTGCCAAGAACTCATCGTATATCGATGACTCGACGTACACACGGCTGGCCGCAAAACATACCTGCCCAGTGTTCATGGTAATGGCGTTCGCACACCAGGTGACGGCATTCTCCATGTTGCAGTCTTTGAAAACCACCGCCGGAGACTTGCCGCCCAGCTCCAGTGTGACGCGCTTCAAATTGCTGCTGGCTGCCAACTTCATGATCGTGCGCCCCGTCGTCGTCGATCCTGTGAAGCTGACTTTGCGCACTTTCATGTGGCTAGCGAGAAGAGCCCCGGTACTGCCGTCTCCTGCAACGACCTGGAACACACCAGGTGGAAAACCAGCCTCTTTTATTAGACTGCCGAGGGCCAGGGCCGCAAAAGGCGTCTTTTCCGATGGCTTCAGGATGAAGCAGTTGCCAGTCGCGAGTGCCGGACCAGCCTTCATACCGATGTTTCCGATGGGCCCGTTCCAGGGAATGATGCCGCAAGTTACCCCAAGTGGTTCGTTGCGCACGATCTTGAGGAACCCGTCTTCTTGCGGATATGTCTCTCCGGCAAACTTATCGGTCCAGCCGCCAAAGTACTTGAGGCATTCTACCGACAGTTGGAGTTCAAAGGTGCCGAAGGACTCAAAGGGTGCCCCGAGCGTGAGCCTATTCATCTCTGCCAAAGCCGGTCCGTTCTTCTCAAGCAATTCCGCGAGTTTGAACAGCATATCGCGGCGTTCGTTCGGTGGTGTCTTCTTCCACTTCGGAAAGGCAGCCTCTGCTGCTGCTACTGCAGCATCGACATCCTCTTGCCCACCGAGAGCGACGTCGTTGGCAACGAGAGACTCGTCCTTTGGGTTGAAAAGCTCAAGCTTCTTGCTATTCTTCGAATCCACGTACTGCCAATGTCTCAGTCAGATGCATCGCCTTCAGGGGCAAGCGCCTCTTACTTCATTGTTAATGAAATGTTGCTTGGGAAGATTGTCTTTGTTCCAAGAGAATGCGGACTTCTGGCCGTCCGTGGCTTCATTCGATGAAGACGTGAAAAGAGCCATGTTGAAGAGTGAGTCAAATGCTTTCTACTGTAAGCCGGTTGATTTGTTGACCGACTAGAAGCATGAGATCCAGGGTCGGGCGTCAGCGATATTTTCAAGGACCACAGTGGTCGTATGTCTTCCTGTTTTCCTACGATGCGGGCAAGAGTTACGGACTGGTGTGAATGGGGAGCAGATGCATTCTCCTACGTGCTTATTCATTCCAGCTCCTTTACGAAACCTCTCGTTGCATCCGTAGTGAGGGGCCTGCGCCTTCTGATGTGATACGGAAGACATCCGGCTGCAAGACGAACTTGGCGCAGCGCGAGGTCGGCTTCTCAGGTACTGATGGTTCCACGGTAGTCCGCGGCAGACGTCACCTACCTAGGTCCGTGACAGCCAACGGCCGTCCAACAGCAAGCATCATAAGCTGGCTATCAATATCCTGTTGAGTCATGAAGCCAAGAGAGCCTTGTCAATCTGACTCGGGCCTCGGGCGTGATGAAGCTCCCGCGACGATCAAGCAATACCCAGTACCCCGCATGGGCTCCCGCTTGAGGTGGGGCATACAAACGTGGTGGAGGGGGGTGTATCTGGAGACCAACAGTGCAGAGGCGTGTAGCAAAGTTCCATCACTAGCACCCCGCGGAAGGATGAGATATGGCCCACTGTCAGCACTCTAAGTCTGCGACCGATGGATTGTCCAGGAAGAGGTGTTCCGGCGCAAGCATTCAGTGTTAACATCTTCCAGGTTAAGCTCTGCTGAAGTGGAAGATGGCACTGGCACGGCTAAGCATTACTTGGAGGTGTGTCTTGCGATAATAGACATGGTGAGTGATGCAGGTTAAAGCACATCGTCCAGGCTGTCGTACCTCTGGCTCACGAGGACCATCCACCGAGACTAGTAAGCTCCTATTCAAAAATCGAGACCAGCTTCTATCAAAATGGGTTCCATTCAGCCACAGCTTCCTAAGACCATGAAAGCAGGACAATGGAATCCCGTAAGCACATATATGGCTTCGGATAGCAGATGTAGAATTTTCGCTAACATTCCCTGCAGGAATTGCGAAAAGTTGTTGTAAATGAGATTCCCGTTCCAGAACCAGGCAAGAATGAGTTCCTTGTCAAAATCAGATCAGCATCATTGTGCCATTCCGACGTGCTGGCCATCCAACAAGCGGAGAAGACCGTAACGCTTGGTCATGAGGGTGCCGGTCACATCGTGTCGATGCATCCTTCAGCCGAAGAAAGAGGTTTCAGTATTGGAGACGCTGTAGGGTTTCTGTACATCCGAGGTTGTTGCTTCACGTGCTCCGGATGCCAGGTTCACAACCTCCACTGCGAGACGGGCAAACAGCTTCTCCAGGGCTTTGTTGTCGATGGATTTTTTGCAGAGTATGCGCTCGTGGACTACCACAACGCCATCGTTCTCGACGAAAGCAAGTGGAATATGGATGCTGCCTCGGCTGTGTTCTGTGCTGGTATTACCGCATTCCACTCTGTCGACAGCTGCGAGCTTTCACCGGGAGACTGGTTCGGTGTAGTTGGCTGTGGTGGTCTCGGCCAACTTGCGACACAATACGCCAAAGCCATGGGACTGAAGGTTGTGGGCATCGACGTCGCCGACGCGAATCTCGAGGAGACCAAAAAGCAAGGCGCTGATGTTGTCTTCAACTCCATGTCAAACTCGGAATGGGCCCAGGACATCAAGAAATTGACGGGTGGTGGCGTCCAAGCTGTTGCTGTGTACACCAATGCACCGCCCGCATTTGCTTCTGCTACCAGCTGTCTGACCTTAGGAGGCACATTGATGATTATCGGTGTATCGAAAGAGCCTATCAAGATTGACGGAATGGATCTTTTGCTGGGGAGATACAAGATCAAGGCAGACAGCACAAGTATTCCTCAGCGCATGGAAAAGGCTGTCGAGTTCACAGCCAAGCATGGTATCATGCCCGTAGTGGAGATACGGGACGGGTTGGAAGATCTGGCGAGCATGGTGGAAGATATGGAGAAGGGAAAGGTCGCTAAGAGGCAAGGAATCGCCTTCAGATGATTTATCGATGGCTTCTCACGCGGGCTCTATGGATATACGGTGTGGAATTCACTCTCATTTTGTATATATTGATAACACGACAGACTGATGATGAAAAATGACTGGAGCGACCACTAGTTGTAAGTGATAAATTTCTCTCCGTACATGTCTGCGAACTCCTTGTACCTTTCCGTGTAAGACTGGTGTCTTTTTGCGACCTCCGCTGCCTTCTTCATCTCTTCTCTTCCCACTTGATGTCTATGAGCTGCGTCCGGTCCATCAGCAACCCTCACGAAACGAGCATATGTCCACATCTCGGGAAGAGGGGTGTGCTGCGTGAGGCCCTGGCCGCCAAACATTTGCATGCACTCATCGATGATCTTAGTGGCCATGATAGGCACAAGGATCTTGCTCTGAGCGATAGCTCGCTTGCCCGCCTTGTTGCCGAGAAGATCCATGGTGTCGGCAGCGTTCAGGACTACCAAGCGGGCAGCGTCTAGCTCAAGACGCATTTGCGCAACGCGCTCAATGTTAGAATCGAACTCTCCAATGAGCTTACCGCGAGGCCTCTTGCGAGCATCATTGCATCGAATCAGCGCAAGTTCATAGGCACGCTCGCACTGTCCAATCAGACGCATGCAGTGATGAATGCGACCTGGTCCGAGACGGCCTTGGGCAATCTCAAAGGCGCGGCCCTCGCCAAGGATGACATTTTCTGCCGGCACGCGTACATTTTCGTATAAGTATTCGCCGTGTCCCTCCGGAGCGTGATCATATCCCATGATGGTAAGGTTCCGAACTTGCGTGATGCCGGGCGTGTTGCATGGCACGATGATCATCGAGTGGCGGGACCACTTGTTGGGGTTCTCCGGGTCGGTGCAGCCCATGAGGATGTAGAAAGATAGCTCTTTGTTCCACAGACAATTACCGTAGAGCTTTCTGCCGTTGATGACGTAGGAGTCTCCATCACGCTTGATGCGGATTCCAATCTGTGTCGCATCTGAGCTGGCAACATCTGGCTCGGTCATGGAATAGGCGGAAGAGGCCGTGCCATCCAGAAGAGGTTGAAGCCACTTGTTCTTCTGCTCCTCATTGCAGTACTTAGCCAGAAGCTCGATGTTGCCCGTCTCGGGAGCGTGGCAATTCATGGTCTGGTAGAACAGTGTCAGTGTAGTCCCGAATGAGCATAACTAGGTCGAGCCACGCGTACCTGCGCTGCCCAGTAACAGCGACCCATGATCTCTGCGCAACACGAGTATTCCAAGTTTGTCAATCCGGGACTTTCTTTGAAGTGTTTGGGCAGAAACAGGTTGAACAGGCCGCGTTCCTTGGCTTTATCCCGTAACTCATGTATCAACCGCGGCGTCGTCCACCGCCGACCCTCAAGCTGTGCCTTGAAGATTTCTTCTCTTGGGATGCACTCATTCTCAACCCACTCATAAACGGCCTCAATCTTTCCGATGGCCAGAGGAGAGAGTTTTGCTTTCACCCATGGCGGGAGATGATTGAAGGCTGGTCCATGCAGGGCTGCGGTGTCCATCTTCAGGGGCGACAAGATGGTGTTCTCGACTCAAGCGTCAAATGCAATTGAGTTTTCAGTGACCAAAATCAAAAGTCCCTATGTCTTCTAGAGTAGGCTCTTTTTGAGCAACTGCTGCTGTGAGAGTGTAACCGGTGGCGGGAGTCTTGTTCCCTCGCCGTGTCGAACCGCGGCACGAGAGCTGGGACAACGCCCCCGGCACGAACACAGGGCACTAGGTATGGGGAACCACAAAAACCGTTTCGCAGACAACGGCCGGGAATATTAAGGCGCTAATGATTCATTGGGGTACTTTCAGCCAAGAATGGGGTGTGATCTCCCTCTCCTGGCCATGTTTGGGGGAACCTTGACCTCGGTCTCCTGCGGCTCCCTTATGGAGGCTGCGGGGGTCGCGCGGGGTAGCTATGCGCCGCCATGGCCCACGGGTATCCGTAAGGTAAGGTAGGTACCTTAAGGTAGGGAAATCAATCATGCACTCCCATCAGCATCAGGATTTGCGGGGTTTGGGGACAGCTGGAGAACTAAAGGGTGCCCGTGTTTGGCTAAGAGACCACAGAGTACCTTATCTACAAGGCCCCCCCTGCCCATCACCACCCAGTACCTGCCATGTACGCCTGCGTTCCCATTGCCCCCAACGATCCATCCAGGAACTTCCTACAACTAGTGGATGATCCTAGCCTTCTTGAACCTGTCCAATGTGGTATACCAAGACTGCCTTGTGTCAATCTCCTCCGTGCTGGAACCCCACATCTCATGACACTTGGAAAGGTCAAGCTGCCGATCGAAGTTGAGCATGGTCATGATGAAGCTTGCGAAGCCACCGAAGCTTCGGTCGTTAGCAACGCGGCCGCTAACGAGACCGTGTCTCTGCTCCAGCGCTTTCCATTCGTCAATGTGGTCTGACAGGTACTGCGTTGGTTGGGGGGCCTGTCCGTCCGCTGGAGGCGACGTTCCCCTGAGGCCGAAGTACTCGCAGATGACTGGCCATTTCTTGCTCCATGATGAGGGCTGCGAACTGTCCGCAACGTTGTATCGTTGCTCAGAGGTAAGTTCCGGATGAAGTGAAGCGTAGATGCACACTTTGGCAATGATGTCTTGGTTGCACTCGCTGCTCAAATTGTTCCAAGACTTCTCGCTTCCGGGGAACGGGCATTCAGCCCCTTTCCCATGAAGCTCCGCGAACAAATTGAGATACGTGCCAACTGTCTGTGCAAGGCAGTAGATGTTGTTATTGGGCACGAAGCCAATGATATTGTCAGGTATGATTTCACACCAAGTCCAGTCTTTCCCTTTGGCCATCTGCGACAGCATGTCGGTTTGGTCATAGTAGAACATTTGGGACGCGAAGGGCTCTGGGATCCGCGGCAGAGTCTCGTGTAGGGGGACGTCCTTGGGGAAGGGGAAATGATCCAGCAAGTGAACTCCGTAAGCTTTGGTGCCGGTCGGCAAGACAACAAACTTCAGGTTGGGGGAGAGTGCCTCGACAGCGCTGACAGCTCGTCTGATGAGCTCCTTGTTGATGTCGCATTCCTTCGCAGGGTCGGCGTCCATAATGTATGCTTTCAACACCGTCAGCACATGATGACCAACGGGAAATGAGAGATAGGTCTCTACCAAAGAAATAAACGTGGCTGATGCGACTCATGTTCTTGACTTTTGCCTTGAGATCGGCCTCGAGGCCTTCCACGCCTTTCGGGGTCATGATATCAACGCCACTGGCGACCTGGAGCTGCGGCCTCTCAGGCTTAGGCCACAGGGCATCTTCAGTGTTCAGCGGTCGGTTTGTGAGAGCCGTGACGGAGGCGAAAGTGTCCTCGGTTGGGTAGCCATTGAGAAGCGCATTGGTGATAGACCATCCCGTGATCCCGCTTGCTCCTAGTTGTTGTCAGCACTGAACCTGAAGACTATCGCTCGAATGTACTGCATACCGTAAATGAGGGCGTGATTTTCTGGCATTTTTGCAAGCTTAAGCTAAGGGAGAACAGGCGAGGATATGGTGTTGAATGAGAAACGAAAAAGTAGCATAGAAATTTCTCAATGAAGGACACGATGTTCACGCAGGATCGTTGAATAAATGCATCATGCGCTCGGGTGGGGAAGCAGACCAAGTCACTCCGGTGTACCTACGGGTATTAGAACGCAGAGAGGCAGCAGCTCCCTCCATTACCTACGCACTGTTGCTTGAGTGTTGGCACAGGTGAAGGTCCAGACGGGCCAACCCCTTCAAATTCTTCCATCTTTTGGTCATGTAAGTCAGATTCCCAACAATGCTACTCTGACCGCAGGCACGTAATCAAGCCAGGCTTGGTTGAAACCCTTGGCGTGCGCAGCTCAAAAATCACCACACATCAGGTACAGCCTCGCACTTCATTCCCATAAACCATCGTGAACGTTGATGTTGGAAAACCCCCCAACAAGTCAAAGGGGCGCAAAGCTCCGAGCCGATGGAGATTGCGCCGGGCGTGCCTCCCGGCCAGGTACCCACTCATCCCGACTCAGTACGTACCGGATCCGGCCAGTGTACCGCCCTCAGATGCATTCTGGAAAATCTTACCCAGCTCTGGTACCAAGGAGAAGCTTGCCACACGACCCTTAGAACCAACAAACGCCGCCCAATCATTTGGTAGCCTGACGCGTGCCGTGCTCGGCTGTTCACCGACAGACGTGTCGCCCTAGGGGGAACACGAAACCACCGATTGCGTATTAGGCGCCGGCTACCTATCAGTAACTTTCGATGCGAGGCTCTACTCCTTGTAAGTCATGTATACGTACCGTATCCAGGCTGGCTGTCCTATTTACCCGCCGGCAGGAAATGCACATCCCGGACATGAATGCCACTGTGCCTGCTGTGTGACGCCCGTTAAACGGTCGAGGTTGGACTGCTTCCGTCGGCCACGATGAAATCCTCTGAAGATCGATACCCGCGCCGGAAACTCACTTGCGCCTTGGAACGGACCCAAGACAACCGCAATGCGTCTGCCGTTTTCCTGATCACGCCAGGAGCCCGCCATTATCGCCTCAGAAGTTGCACTCGCAACTCAGCCTGCTTGGCCACAACTTCATATCTCCCATCAGGAGAGCGACGTCTCATTCTTGAAATTCAGTCTCAGAGCCGTATCGATTCCCCCAGATTCATGCCCGTGGCTTCCAATCATCGTCTCTTCGCGAAGGATCGTTTTGGCACTCCGGCATCGATAGGCTGCAACAGCACACCATGGCTCCTTCAGCAGTGCCGACCGCTGCGAATCAAGAACTTGTGAATGAAAGCTTTGATGGGCATGGCAATGGACATACGAATGGAACCAACGGTCAAACCAAAGACAGCGCATCTGACTTCTCATACCCTCCCTCTATTCAGCCTGATGCCCCTTATCGAGTTCTGAAGCAGTACCACTCAAAGCCTACAAAGCTACGAGTGGCATGCATCGGAGCTGCCGTCTCAGGCATGTGCCTGGCTTACAAGATGGAGAAGCAGATGGTGCCTGGCTCCTGGGAGTTGACACTGTAAGCTTCATCCGGAAGATGTGGACGTTGCTGTTCTAACTCGCTATAGCTTCGATAAGAACCCGAGACTAGGCGGGACATGGCTCGAAAACACGTACGTTTCGCCGATGGGTATCGACGCTACTATGGCTGACTCTCGATGGTGATAGATACCCTGGTGTCGCCTGTGACATACCGTCCCACCTCTACACGTTCTCATGGGACCCCAAGCCCGATTGGACCGAGTACTACGCCAGCGGGAAAGAGATCCTCGAGTATCTAGAGGATTTTGCCGATAGACATGGCTCTAGGAAGTACATGAAACTCAACACCAAAGTCGTCGAAGGTCGTTGGGATGAAGAGAAGGGGCTGTGGTGCCTGACGCTCGAGGATCAGATCACCAAGGGGACGTGGCAGGACTGGTGCCACGTGCTGGTCAACGGCAGTGGTATCTTGAACAACTGGAAATGGCCAGACATTGAGGGCCTGCATGACTTTGCTGGGCCCAAGATGCACTCTGCCAACTGGGATCACTCGGTCGACTTCAAGAACAAGAACGTCGGAGTAATAGGGACTGGAAGCACATCGGTCCAAATCGTTCCTGCGCTTCAGAAGATTTGCGACAAGGTCCAGGTGTTCATGCGCTCGTCCACTTGGATCTCGCCCCCATTCGGCGGCGGTGTTTTGGAATCGGAGCTGCGCAAGGACGGTGATCCAGGACACAGGCAGTACAAGTTCACCGAAGAAGACATCAAGAGGTTTCGAGAAGATCCGGAATACCACTTGATGTTCCGAAAGCGCATCGAGGCCGAGATCAACTCATTGTTTGGCATGTACCAGCAAGGCTCGGAAATGTCGGACCTGATGAGAACCGTCATAACCGATGAGATGAACCGGCGCATTGGCGATGGGCCTGGGAGCGAGGAGTTGAAGAAGTTCATCATTCCTGACTGGGCACCTGGTTGCCGGCGAATCTCACCCGGCGACGGGTACCTCGAGGCCCTGGTCCGACCCAACGTCAAGCCCGTCTTTGGTAGAATCAGGAAGGTGGTCCCGGAAGGAATTGTCACAGAAGACGGCGAGACGCACAAGATGGACGTGCTCGTGTGTGCGACTGGCTTCAAGGTTGCCTTCCGACCCGCATTCAAGCTGATCAACGGAAGCGGGCAAACACTTGACGAAGATTGGGGCGACAGCGTCAACCTTTACTTTGGCGTATCTGCGCCGCGGTTTCCCAATTACTACACCATCGTGGTAGGTGGCAATGATGCGCTGCTGCATGCAGGTGTGGACTAACAACACCCACTAGGGCCCCGGTGCAACATGGTCATCAGGCACTCTCCTGCCGTCCATCGAGACAACCGTCGAGTATTCAATCAAGATGATGAAGAAGATACAGCATGACAACATCCGGTCAATCGATGTAAAGCAGGAGGCTGTAGACGACATTTATGGCCACTTTGACGAGTTCCACTCCAACACGGTCTTCCAAGAAGGGTGCCGAAGCTGGTTCAAGGACGGCAAGAAGAAGAACCGCATTTACCTGTGGCCTGGCTGTGTAAGAATAAGACTAGATCCGCGTCTCGCATGATTTTGATGATGAAATGGGTACTGATTTCGGCGGCTCTAGACCATCCACTTCCTCAAGACAATCAAGGACCCTCGGTTCGAAGATTACAACATCCGATACCGGTACGGAAACCGGTTCGCCTTCCTTGGCAACGGCGAAGTGAAGGCGAACACAACCAAGGACGTGAAGGGATTGAGCACATATGTGCGAGACGCCGATGACGATTGGACGGTTGAGTGAATGGACAGCTTGGAGAGCAGCATCCCGCCGGGCAGCCAGATGCGGGGGTGGGATATGACGATGCTGTTGTGTCTCGGCCAGATATTCCTCGAGAAGAAGCAGGAAACTTGAAAGGGAAAGGGACATAAGGTAGGTAGGTAGGAGTGGGTGCTGCGTGTGGGGGCACATGTGTCACACACATCTGTGGCCTGGTGGCTTCACTTGAGCAGGAGTCAACGAGGCCAATGTGCAGCCTGATGAACACACACTTAATTTCAATACGATTCAATCACACAAGATGCATCTCGAGTGCTACAAGAGAACTTTCTCGTCAACTAAGAGGGGTAGAGCAGACTCACCTAGTTAGGTCGGTAGGCGAACGAGGTAAGGTAGTGAGAGAGTGGGTGACAACACATATGCTGTAATGCGAGAGACGGATACGAACGACGGACCTCTCAACTACCGGCATATCATCGGGCGTAAAAGAGGACGAGCAGCAAACGAGTGGTGGCTGCGAGGCAGCACTTCGGTTCAGTGATTGCGCGTCGGAGACTCAAGAGTAAATAGGTTGGTTGCATGAGGTGATGGATGGACGGGATAAAAACCGCGACGCGACGCGGAGGTGGTGAGTGTGGGCGGGGACGAGCGCCCTGCAACACATTTTGATTGGCTCAACAGCCAATGGTCGGAGTTCAGGGTCCACCTGAGTCAGGCCCTTCGAGGTCGCATCTCGCTCCTGATTCAACACCGACCTGTCCGTCATGGTCTGTGCTTCGGCACTACACTGAGTGTGGACCACCCACACGCTTGGACACCACGGCTGGAGGAACACCACGACTGAAGGAGATAGAACGGATTTGCCCCGGGTGGGCCACGTGTCTGATTGGCCCCAACGTCTCAGAACGAACCCCACCCCACGATCTCAGCCCTCACTCAGGTGTGGTTGCCTTTTTCGACCTCAGCACTTCCGCTCGTTCGCTCTCAGCTCCCGCAGTCGTCAGTCGTCAACTCTTCTTCGACTCGCACGCCACAGCCTTCATCGAGGGTAGTTAGTTGGTAACACAAGTCTGACTGACAGGGACCGGGACCGGCTTTGAGGCCTTTCAGCCAATCTATCCCAACCAACCAATTCAACTCCCTTCCCCTGGGCCACCTCACTCATCCAGCCGACGGCTGCCCCTCCCCCCTTCCCGACCCCCCGTTGCTTGGAGAAAAGAGCCGGGGCAAAACCTCACTACCGCGGCCATCTATCGGCAATCCTCCTCGTCTCATTTGCCCTTTCCCTTTCCACGATACCGGTCAATACCTGCACTTTTCTAGTTCTGGAGGAACAGGTGGATCGAGCGACCACTTCCCCGCACTCAACGTGCCCTACCTAGTGTCCCTCTCCCTTTCAGACCTTTCCTCCTCTCATCCCCATGCAGCAGCCATGTCCATTACCTTTACCTAGTCTACACAGAACCAGCCCCCTCTCCCTCATCTCGTTTGTATCCCCCGTACGACCGGTCCAGTATCATAGCGCCCTCAATGATCCACTCATCCCCAGACCATCCGCAATGGGGGCCATGTCAGACTGGCCTTGCTCCTCGTTGAAATCCGGGGTAACAGCAAGGGTTGTTTCCCTTAGTCGCGTTCCAGCCTCAATCCTTCAAACCCCACTCCAGAGACACTTGACAGAACCAACAATACGTAGTCAGGTCTAGGTCTGCTCCGAAACCCGAGTCTCATTGCCTTAGTCGGCCTGGGGTAGTGCCCGGAAGTCGGAGCCTCCCCGGTGCCCTGTCTGCTCCAAGGACATCAATCCAAGAAACAGGCAGCCCACCCAGCCCGTCTGGAGAAGCTGCCTGTCTCATAATCTTTTCTGCTCATGCAACTACGTCTGCACCAGCCCCATCCCACCGCATCTTAGCTAGTTCGGGGTCCCCAGACTTTCCGCCTGCTCTACTACCTACGCTGGCAACCCTCTCTTGGGATAAACAAGTGGAGCGAGCCATGGGGGGAGAGGAGGGGCCGCATACGTGACGTTTCCACAGGTACCGCATGTTCGTCGTCACAGCGGGGGAAACCCGCCACACCCAAACATTCTTTTTATGCTGGACCTGAGCAACTCCTCTGCTCCTTTTGCTGGCTCTTCAATTCCACCTCTGAATCTCTCATTCAAAACAGATACTGAATCTGTATCTTTTCTTTGCCGCCCGGCTTTCCAACCTGACCCCTGCTGACCTGACCGTCTCTCACACCCTCTAAACCTGGCATCGATCGCATGTGACTGCACGAATAGGCTCAAGTCCCCGCCGAGATCAAGCTGCGTGACCATGGCAAGTCCGAAGGGAGAAGGAAAAACCTCCACGGAACAGGCTGGCGTTGCTGCGCAAGAGAATGTCTCACAGCGTACGCAGTCGTCCCGTCAGGCAAACAAGCAACAGGTGAGGCATCGGGCATCTGTTGCCTGTGCATCATGCCGCGATAGGAGAATCAGATGCGTCGTACCCAAGGGCGAGTCCGAGTGTGTGCAGTGCAAGAAAGCAGGGAATGAGTGTATAATCAAGAATGACGATGAGAGAAGAAGGTGCGCTCGACCATCCAATATATGACCACTGCCAGAATATCCTTGAACCTAACCCATGTCCAATAGGCCTATATCCAAAGCCTACATGTCTTCCTTGTCGGATCGCATCTCTATGCTGGAGGGAATGTTGCTGGAAAAAGGAGTCGCACCTCCTCCTGCCGCCCACCCCCCCAAGACAAGACACGAGGCTCAACCAAAGACCTCCGAAGAGGAGCGAAAGCATCATGGCACACAACAGAAGGCTCGCGAGTCATCCGAAAGATCACCTCAAGCAGAAGTACCCTCCCCACCAGACTCTGCTAATGAGGACTACACGATGCAAGACAGTGACCGCGCAGATAGCGCTCATGCCGACGGACCAGTCTCTGCAAGCCAGATCTTCCAACCGCTGCCGAAGGAGCAGTCTCCATTCCGGATGCTGGACCCAAAACAAGAAGACATTGTCCATCGCCTTCTCTCAACAAAAGGAAACCTCTCATTCGATCAACTGTCTGGGCGGCTACGTTTCTTCGGGCCCACTGCCAACTCACATGTATACGCAGAGCCCTCAGATCAGTTTGATTTCCGCGAACCTCCAGAGCAAGTCCGACGAGCCGAGCGCATGATCAGGTCCATCACGGCAGAAACTCACGATTATCTCATGGACAATTTCTGGACTCATTATAATTCAGTGCTGAAAGTCATACACCAGGAGGCTTTCGATGCCGACAGAGAGTCGCAGAACCCAAAGTTCTACTCTTCGTTTCTTCATATTTGCATCCTTGCCATGGCGTTTCGTTTCGCAGACGCCGACAGGGATGACATGAAGAGAATTGCGTTGGGCGGTCGAGAGAGTACGCTGCATCGGGAGGCCAAATATATGCTCGATATCGAGCTCGAACGCCCCGGCGGCATCCCCAGCGTGCAAGCCCTCCTGCTCCTCGGCGATCTGGAATGCGGTGTCGGCAGGGACAACACCGGCTGGATGTATGCTGGTAAGTCAAACGCGATGCATCTCGCCAGCACCACGGACTAATGTGCTATGAAGGTATGGCGAATCGTCTAGCATTCGACATCGGCCTTCATCTTGACTGTCGTAACACTGGGATCAATGAGCAGGAAGTTGACATTCGTCACATGGTCATGAGAGCCTGTGTTATTTACGACAGATACTGGGCATTGTTTCTGGGTCGACCAACGAGTATCAAAAACCAGGATATCGGAATGGATTTGCTTTCACGCCGCTTTTCTCAATTGACATCGTTGATGGGTGGGCCTGGCGCTGCTCACAAGAAGAACATCGCTGCCGAGGTTTACGACCAGCTGATAGAGTTGATGGAGCTTGCGGGACGAATCGTTGAGACTCGAGAAGTACGAAACAAGCAGCGGGGAGATGGCACAGACAATGTATTCAACACCAACGAAGGCGAAGATAACGCATACTTGCACGCTATAAATCTCGACCGACAACTTCAGAATTGGTATAGGCGGCTCCCTGAGCATCTGCAATGGAAACCATCAGCTATCAAGAGCGCGCCTTTCAGCTATTTCCTCTTACATCAACAGTACCACGTCTCCATGATCCTACTGCATCGTCCTTGGGCCAAATACGGAGCCATTGCTGGCGACGGCACCAGCACAGGATCGCATCCGAGCCCAGCGCCCGCCTCCGAACCCAAAGATGTCCTCGACCAGCACCCCTTTTCTCTGCCCATCAACTCCCCGGGGATGGCAGATCCTCATGCTATGGTGGATGACAGCAGAACAGCACTGTCACGCAGCATCTGCACACAGCAGGCGATTCGTGTGGCACGCATTTTCTGGCAGCATCGCCAACGGTTCGACGGCCGCAAGATCTTCGTCACCGGGATTCAACATGCCGGTACAGCTGCGATCGCCTTGATAGCTGCGCTAGCCTACAATCACAGCGAATCAGATAGGCGCACTTATCTTGGGTATCTCGAAATTCTTTCGAGTGCCGTCAGCGATATGAGCCATACGTACCAACCAGCATCCCGCATGGATGACCTTCTCAAGGCTGTTTTGGTCCAACTTCGAGCTGATATTAACGACTACAACGATGGGATCCAACCACCAATTACCTTGTCGGGTAGCGATAAGAGCCTGCTATCCAGTTCAGGGTGGAGAGGAAATATGGATACAATCTACTCCATCTTGCCAGCAAGGCGTGAAGCGGACGCTGGCAGTAGCCAGTCTCACAAAAGGCGCCGTCCATCCACAACCAGCCGCAGGGCATCGGAGTTCACCCGTCCACCACCGCCGTTCTTCCTTTCCCAGTCAAATACAATAACATCGCGGGCTTCGGGCCATCGGTCGGCCGGTCAGCATCCCCCAATCGACCCAGCAATGTACTCCTTGGGTAGCGGTGACATGCAAGGCTTCAATTTGGATTTCCTAAACGGCTCGGCGATTGAGGCTGACCTTGATGATGCCTCGGATGGCATGTTGAGACCATCTGAAGACTTCGTGCTCGTTGCTTCTCAATCAGATGGATGGACACTCGGCGGGTTGAACGCAGAGAACACGGCCCAACACGGCGAAGCTGCGTATGACGGGACAGGCCTGGGCGAATGGGCTTCAGGAACAACTAGACCGAACGCAAGCTCCGCACTCGGCGGTTCAGATGCCGTCTCATCGGCTGCACGTGACAACGGGCGGGGGGATGGCGGGGGAAAAGAGGGCGGCGCAGCTGTTCCGCGGGGGCTCTTGAGCGAGAAATTGAATCAAGGTTCATCTGTAAGTACAGGAGACGAGGCTGACAAGTCTCAACCTCTCAACTCGGTTGACTCTGGAAGCATGGATTGGATGGGCAGCGAAGGTGGACTGAACGCGCTGAGTCCAGTCAGCTTGAGTGGATTGGTGCAGAGCGCAATGCCGGATAAAGGAGAAAGCGAGTCTTCTGCGGTCAACAGAAACCATGAGCTAGACTTCTTCAGTTTTTGATGCGACGGGCTCGTGCACGCTAGCAGTCTGGCGATGTTTGTGTACGGTAACTACGAGTTGTGTCTCGCAGACTACGGTTGGCTTGTTATTTCATCTGTTTTTCAACGGGTAGGGGTTTGGGATTTCCGGCGTATCGAGGGGGTTTCCAGGGATTCGAACATAGGCAAGAGACGTGTTTTACACCATGAGAGACGTGATCTGAGTTCCGAGAGCTATTGGACCGTAAACCCTCCGTCGACCACCAGGCCAGCGCCTTGCATGAAGCTGCTCATATCAGAAGCAAGAAATGTGATGCAGTCTGCTATTTCCTCGGATTTCGCCATGCGGCCCAAAGGTGTTCGGCTGATATCTCGGGCAAGGGGGGATTCGGCATCCTGGGCCATTGTTTCAAGGACAAGCGGTGTTTCGACGTAGCTATTGGACCTCATTAGCGCCTGACCCATCAAACGACTCGTCTTGGACCTTTTCACCCTGGGCAGATTGCGTTGATGCGGATTGCTTTTGGACCGTATGTGTTGGCGTCAGCTTTCGTCAAACCAAGCACTCCTGAGAGAACGCTTTATTAGTAACTTTGAAATATAGCATGGGAAAGAGCGCGACTCACCATGCTTTGCGGTTGTGTATGCTGTATGCGACATGAATCGAGACGGCGATATGATGCCAAACATGGATGCCACGTTGATGATGGTACCACGACCTTGACGGGATCCCAAATCTCTGTCACAGACACCACAAATTTAGTATTGGCATTGGTATTCGAATCTGTAAGACTTACTCTTGGTTTAGCATGGCATTGATCTCTTCTTGCTGGCAACGCCACACGCCATGCAGGTCGACATCGAGAACTTTTGTAAACTCGGCTTCATCGATCTCATGAGTGGCGCGCCCACTGCCTCCAATGCCGGCATTATTTACGGCAATATCTATGCGGCCGAAGGCGGAAATGGTTGCGGCAATGCCAGACCTAATCTCAACGGCATTTTGAACGTTGAGGGATAAAGGGAGAAGCTTGACAGCAGGATAGCGGCGGCGGAGGAGATCAGTGGTGACGCTGAGGGTCGCCTGGTTCATGTCCGCGAGTGCCAGGCGATTGATGCCGTGCTTTGCAAAAGCCAGTGCTGTATGCTGGCCGATACCTATGATGCTTATCAGTATGAAGTTATTCGCTCTCAAGACCCAATGATGGAGCTAGCTTACCAGAAGCAGCACCAGTGATGAATGCGGTGCCGCGGAGAAGAGATGCCATTTCCAAGGTGATTGTTCTGCTGAACGAACCTCATGCTGGAAGAGGCGCGTCCGAGACCAAGACGTCTTAAGAGCACTGACACCTTGACGGGTGCTCACACCCGGTTGCTTGCTCCCCTCCCTTCAGACATCCTTATGGGTTGTTTGGAGCAATGAGACTGCACCAATCAATTTCACTGCAGCTGAACTGAGGTCGGATTCCTGAGCTGAGACAAAAACGCATCGGTGGATTCGTGATCCGGATGGACTGCGGGGTGGGCAAAGGCATCGGGTGAGGATATCCGGAGGAGGCCGGGCTCCGGGGCCCGGGTCTTCGGCGCCGCAAAGTCATCGATAGGCATTGCAGCTATTTGTACGGACCGTGGCATTTAACTGTGTATCTTCTGATCGAATCTCGCAAAACCCAAGTCAAACCACAACAAGGGATGCACATTGTCTAATGAGATGGCTGGGGGTACAGATGGCACGGCTTATGCACCAACGGGGCAATACGAGCTGGTGTCACATCCTCTGGGCTTTTCCATTGCGCTTTCCCCGTATCTGGAGCGACGGAAACAGCGTGTGCATGGGTAGGTACACCGCCAAGTTTCGAGACGAAAATAAGTGAAGTGAAGTAGAATGAAAGAAGCTATCAGCAAAAAGGAGACATCTCTCCGGGCTGTAGGGAGGACCCCCAGCTTCTTGCCTTGATAGAGTTTGTACTGTGCAGCTGCATTACGCCCGTCACCTCCCACCTCCCTGGGCAGGCACAGTGCTGCTGGACCAGCTCCCCGGAGCTCTCTGCCCGGTGGCCCACTGTATGCGGGCACGTGGGGTAACGAGGTGCTGCACAGACAGTGTGAGGTCATACCCTCAGTCAACGGGCAAGCATTGGATGCCTTCGCCTTTCTTTGGCTTCACTATGCCATGCCGTGCTCACCTTACCTGCCTTACCGTGCCTCGCCCTGTCTGGTGTTTTGGCACTGTACTCGTGACACCTCGCCGCCGACGACAACAACGACAGGAACAATAACCATAGCTGAACTGCGCTTCCACACACAACCACACACAATACCTACGCGTCCTTCACATCTCCACCATTGTCGCCGTGCCCCTGTCCGCGTCCCTGACAACCAGCGCACCGACCAGATACCGACCGCGACGCCTTCACTCTCCTCCGCACCTGGATACGTCGAGTACTTCAATCTTGCGCCTTCCCCCCCCAGTCGGCCATGGTTCACGCCTCTTTGCTGGTCTGACGACCTAGTATGACAACCAACCTGACCGAGTCCCAATGTCGCTTATACCATACCATCCGCGCGAGGGCCGCGAAATCGTTCTGTGAGTTTCTCTTTCGCCTTGGGCGGCGTGTCTTTGCTGACGTCCGTGTTTAGCCGTCACCGCAATGCAATAGTAGTTCGCGACCCCTCTTCCCAGCGACTAGAGATTCGAGGCCTGTCCGAATGTCCTACATGCCGACAACCTTTGCGCTCCTCCTCCCCCGATCGTCAATTCGACAGTGCGCGCCACCACGATTCCTTCGTTGACCCCAACTACTTCCGCATGCTGCGAGCTGGTCACCACAGTGTCCGAGCCGAACATCCACCTTCTAGCCCTATCCGCAGATTCGTGCAGCCTATTCTGGCGACTCCCCAACCCGCCGTTTTCGAGGACACACAAGATGTTGAGTTCATATCAAGCACACCCGCCGTCCAGGAAGGAAGTCGCATCCGCCGCGAAGCCTTCAGTCCGAATTATTTCAAAACCTTCTTCGTCGAAGAGAAAGAGCTTGGCCGAGGCGGAAAAGGAGTTGTCCTGCTCGTCCGTCATGAGATTGATGGCTGTCACCTAGGTACGACGTGTTGCTCACGGATAATCAAACATGACAGTCTAACTGCTCTTAGGCCACTTCGCATGCAAGCGTGTGCCAGTCGGAGACGACCATGCCTGGCTCGAAAAGGTGCTCATCGAGGTTGAGCTGCTTGCCAAACTGTCCCACCCAAACCTGGTTTCCTACCGCCACGTTTGGCTCGAGGACGTTACGTTGACGAGATTCGGCCCCAGCGTGGCATGCGCCTTTATTCTTCAACAGTATTGTAATGGTGGAGATCTGCTTCAATACGTCATCGGCGAGCAGCCAAAGGAGACTACGAAAGAGCAACTCAAGGCTCAAATGCGTAGGAAGTCAAAAGGTCAACTCGAAATTCCACGCGATCAATTCGCCTCTCAACGGCTCCTTTCTTTCGAAGAAATCTTCTCCCTTTTCAAAGACATCACATCTGGACTGGCCTACCTTCATGCAGCCAACTACATTCACAGGGACCTCAAGCCGAGTAACTGCCTGCTGCATCGTGAGGGGAGTGGCATGATCTGCCTGATCAGTGACTTTGGCGAGGTTCAGTCCGAGCACATGGTTCGCAAGTCCACCGGCTCAACCGGAACCATCTCCTACTGTGCGCCGGAGGTCTTGAGGAGGGACTCTGTGGGACGCTACGGCAACTTTACAACAAAATCCGACATATTCTCTCTAGGAATGATTCTCTACTTCATGTGTTTTGGCCGGCTACCCTACCGTAGCGCCAACACTATCAACGAGGAGTTAGAAGACATTGACGCCCTGCGCGCTGAGATTACGGATTGGCAGGGCTTCCAAGATGAGCGCAGAGAGCGTCCTGACCTTCCCTCCAAGCTGTACCAACTTCTCAAAAGGCTCGTCGCACTGGATCCTTCTCAACGCCCAAGCGCCAACGAAGTCTTAGCAGCCATGAAGACCGAATCCACCGTTGATAGCGTCCCTCGAGGCAGAAGCTCAAGTCCGCCGGTGGGTCTTCACAACCGCCGCATTCAGAATCTCGATTCTCCAGTACCTCCTAGTACACCTGTCCCAGGTTCGTCATCCACGGCACCATAGTGATCACGCTTTCTATCGAACTGACTTTGTCACAGATCCTCAAAAGCAGTCCAGATTCTCATCCTCTCAGGAAGGCTATAACATTCCTAGCAGGGCTGCAGAAAATAGCTCTCCCCGTCCAAGCCTACAGACAGGTATGCAAAGGCTCTCGGATCCTAGCTCACCGCGGCATCGTCCCCAGGCCCAGACGATGGTGGCCTCGCGCAGCCAGGACAGCTTTCCTCGTCTGTCTCCGGAAATTGCTGTGTCCGAAGGAAGCGCCGAGTCTGTCAAAGATGAGCCGTTGGGTTCTCCACCGTTGCTGATGCCACCCCCTCCCGGCACAAGATTTGCCGCCTTTCAACACAGGCTAATGGTCGGATGGCTCCGAGCAGGTCATCTAATCCATCACAATGCTAGTCCTCTGCTGGTCGTCACTCGTCTTGGTCTCTTTCTCAGTAAACTTTACAGCCTTACGCGTCCTTGTTGGCCTTACATGGTGGACACAAGTGTAGGGGCGTTTCTGGTCGTAATTGCTGCGCTTGATCTCGGTCTCGCGAACACCGATACGTCGCGGGAGCTGAGATACCGGCAAGATTTCAGGATACACAATGGGCTGCCATGGGCTTGGGGTTTACGTGGTACCGTGCTCCTTGCGGTCATACACCTCGTCGTCCTGTGGGCTGCCGGCCAATGGAATGCTCTGTGCACAACAGGCGGCAGCCGCTCGTGGAGCGTCCACGACGACAACCTGTTGCCATAGAACATCCGCGTATATGCATTTCTCGATGTTTGGGGGTTGAGGCAACGAGTCCAACATTCAGAAGCTCACAGTATATTCTGGTGCATAATCCGCTCAACATCAGGGCGCACATCTCGACTGGTTCAATAGCAGATATCTGTTTGCGATCTCATGTCACGGTGACAAGCGTCAACCACACGGGGCCCTTCAGCGAATCGGCACATTTGATATCGATTATGTTGATCACTAACAGGGGGTATACCTATGGCTATCTTCCGAGTAGTCTGGCTAGCACGGTGGTGTTTCATTATGAGTTTAATTCGGTATGGTGTTAGAGAGGCAATTAAAAACGGACGAATTCTCGAGAAAGATGCCAAATTGGTTTCTATAGGCCGCTTTTAACGGACGTGGCATTTATGGGCGGGCCGGCTCTAAGATGCATGGCACATGTCTCCCCGCCTTTGACCCCCATGTTGTTACGAGAGCTTCTAAGGCTCCACCAGTTCGACGGCAACGGCCGCATCGTACGAGGAGGTACTTTTTGCAGTTTGCCATTCACGACGTCAAAAGGCAGCAGCGCACTGCCGGCGACCTATCCCGTGCCCAAGGCTTATGACTTTTGTAGGGTAGGATGAACGAACGACAGTTCCTTCCGGGTCTCGAACCATGGACGCTTTACTCTTTTCAGCCCACCACAATCGAAGCTGCTTTGGGTTGAGTTGTTTGGCCAGGTGACTTGTCGCATCGCGTCCCGGCGACAAATACCTTCACCACCCCCAACATGTACATGATAGTGACAACATTCAAACGCTTCACCTCTCAGCCAAAGAAAGCATACAGCATAGGACAGTGAGACTCAGGATCTCTCATGAATACAGGAGCACAACCCCCATGCCCCGCCCTCGCAGCATTAATGTGTCTTCGCAAAGTCTTCATTCATCACCGGTGCGGCCACAAGATCACCGAGCTCCTGGAGCCGTGTGATGGCATCGACGGCTGTCCTGGCGTCGTAAACAAGCCCGTCATTACCAATCAGTACACGTGCATCATACGGAGTTGCATCTGGTATGGGCAGTTTTGAGGGTCTTTATCCGGAAAGCATCTGCTAATGGTGAGTTTCGCGGCGATTTCACGATCTTGGGCCGTCGACCTGATGATGCGATGACAGTCTGTACCCCGGTGGGAATATCAAGTTTTCATGTGCCTGAGTTATTTTATAAGGTAGCTGGGCCCCTGCATTAGCGGCCTGCGCTGCGAAGCCAAAAGACATTAGGAAAGGTGCCCATCTTGAAAGAGGGATGATCGTATAAGCCACTGATAGCAATCTGCTCGGTCACAACCAAGGTATATGGTTTTGAATCGTTCAATGTATCCTAAGCACCTGTCTAGTATTCTTCGGGGTATCAACACAGTTTAGACCATGGCGTTCAGGGGTATTGCCATTCAATGCTCCGGACCTACTCCCAACACCTTCTGCGCCCTAAATCAAAGTCAACAGTAAATCAGCGTCTTACGTGTGAAAGAGCCAATGCTAGGCTATGTCTCTCTCGTGGAGAATCTGCCACTTGGTGTGACAGGAGTTGATGTGCGCCGCCAACGACTGTGACGAATCATACGTCTCCGTCTGTCCGCTTGAAACACAAAGAATACACCCATAGACGTCCTTGTCGGAGTGCGACTTGGCAAGAAATCGGTTCGACATGCAGAACCCCTCCTTCAGCACAATAAAGTCTTTCTTCTCGGGCAGGACTGGCTTCCAACGGTAACCGCACGTACAACTCTTATCCTCTGGAATGGGCTTCGACAAGTCAACCTGAAGCACCATTGCCTTGGGGCAGAACATACTGAAAACGCTGACTTTGGGACGGAGGACTGCCGATGCATCACCACCACCACCAGCAGCCTCTGAGGGCGCCAGCGTTGACGGGGCAAAGATGGATGCCACATCGCTGACAATGAGCTTGGAGTCTGGCGGGGTCGGCGGAGGCGAAGGCGGCTCCGACTGGAGGCGGGGTTGATCGGTACAGATGGTCATCTTGTCGTCATCATCGTTGTTGGAATCGATAAAGCTTCCGGAGCGTCGGGACAACAAGCTACTTTGGCGGGACCGAGGCTTTGGGACAGGCAGGTCTTGAGGAATAGAGCGACCCACGGCCATGCGGCCGTAAAGGTCCGTTAGTGCCTTGACTGAGGCAATGCGAATAGCCTCAGATGTTTGAAGGATATCGGCGATATTCAGCGTCGCTGTCAGGCAGGTGGCGTCAACAGCCCGGCGCAAATGGGAAACGCGACTTTTGAGGTTGAACAACTGGTTGCAAAGAAGATCCGTACAAGTGACTGTGCAGTTCCGATATTAGACAAGTCCCTGGTTGTAGTCATGAGGACGATACACACCATCTCCTTTGGAGAATTCGGGCCCTACAATGGAGAAGGCAATATCAAACGTCTCTTTGATCTGTGTTTCGGCAGCGTCAAGAGATGTAGTCAAGGCGCAGGTAACGACGCCTTTCTGCCCAGCGGGACCCGTCCTCCGGTAGTGGTTTTGCCGGGACCGTTTTCTTTTCCACAGCGTGTAGTGTTGCGCGCCCTCTGCGAAGAGGTCGGTCAAAGCAGACACGCATCCGATGACTGTGGTGGGTTCCATTTCGGTTGTCACCTCGACAGCATGATGGAGGTGAGAGGATTGGGAGGGTTATTGCAGCATACACAGCAGAGTGCGACACAAAGACGATGGGATCGAAAATGAGAAGAGTCCTTGAAGGCGAGAAGAGAAATGGGAGCGCGGGCCAGGCCGAGGAGGAATGTTGGAGAGAGACCAGAAAGTGGCACAGCAGGCAAACATGCAATATAAGCTGAAAATTGGGGGTTGAGCTGAGGAGGGCCGGTATGGTCTGCGGCTGCCACGCGCAGAGGGTGCAAACAAAGTGCTTATCTCCCGGAGAGGGGAAGAGGCGTCCACGACTCAAGGCAGGCTTTTGGATGATGGGGTCAGAAGCGAATTATGTCTTGGTTGTGTGAGAAGAATTGGCTTTGAGGCGGATGCGAGGTCAAGTCCCGGCTGGCTGATCGACAGCAGCTAGGCGCCCTAGCACCTGGGTAGCAATGGGGAAGCCGGCTTGGGAGCTGGGGCTGGGGCTGGAGACAAGACAAAGGCACCTCATTTTTGGTGGGCAAAGGCAGGTCGACTGGAGGGAAAGTGTGGCGTTGGTTGGTGGACGCCAACGTGATGAGCGAACGCCAAACGGGCGCACGGGAAGTTGGGGGGCGGGTAGCCGACATGACATGATGCATGGCATGGCGTTGGGACGTGGGAGTGAGCAGGGACAAGGACAAGCGTTGCAGTCGGCTGTTGGTGAGAGTCATGTGTCCATGGACACCACCGTCTCCGATTCCTCTTGCTGGCGAAGATGCTACTGGTGATGATGGTGATGCAGCGGGCAGAAGATGGCCGATGGATGATGGTGTGTGTGGACGAACGGCGGCTTGGATCCCTTACCTACTTAGGTATTGCCTAGGTATTACCTACCTTACTGAGAGGGTCAGTTAATTAGTTGCCAGGCTAGGTATCGTGGTATCTAATGAGATGCAAAGACGGACGCAGGGCGGCTGAAGCACGGAAGGATTCCAGGGTTGTGGTTCACTAGGTAGCTGGACGATTTCTGCGCTCCTGGATGCAAGGAGTCGAAGTCGTAGTGGAGGTGTCTCGGCGTTTCGTGTCATTTTCGAGGGAGTTGGGACAAACATATGTCAAAGAATAGTGCCTGCATAAGTTCGGACGGTCCACGAGGCCGGTGCGATCGATGACGGTGGCATCCGTGCTCCTGGGGATTGAAAGACATCCACACGTGGAAAAGACACACCAACGTTCGAACAACAGAATCAGAAGTGAGGAGAAACCTGGAGGTGTTTTGTAAGGCAAAAGTGCATCCATACTCCGTACCTATCTAGGCACCTCCGTAGGTAAGTCAGGTAGGGAGAAAGTAGAAACCATGATCCATGCAATTGATTTTGGCGAGTCTGGCGGGCGCTACGGCACGCTAGAGAGGCTCCACTAATGTCGATCCGCCAGCGCCGGCGCCGAAGGTGACAAGTCGAGTACCCGACCTATCTAAGAAAATGCCAGCTGGCGACCCATGTCGCGGGCAGCACAGCACCTCACATCCAAGGTAGCTGCTCCCGTCATGCAGCACTTCTCTCCAGGCTGCGTCCCGTCCCCAAAAGTATCATACACCGACATGCCTCTTCCTCCGCGCAATCGTCAGGCATGCGACAGATGCCACAGCCAAAAGCTACGATGTCCGAAGCAGGCCGGCTCTGCCGTATGTGCCCGGTGCTCCAAGGCCAGCGTTGCTTGTGTCTACAGTCCCGCTGGTCCACGTCCGACAACTCAAGACTTCGCCATCCTGGAAGCCCCTCTCGTCGCTGAGACCTCAGCTTTGGACTGGGAACCCTTCTCTTTTGACCAGCTGCTGACTTCTCAGCCAATATCCCAACTCAACATCCCTCTCAGCGAAAACACTCGCGAAGCCCAACTTGATCCGAGAGCCCGATGCTTCGAACAGTTGTCCGCCATGATGCTCAAGCTGAACGAAGCTTTCAATGGCCTGCCTCCAGTCTCGAAGCTACACGTTGCCGCTTCCGACTTGAACTTGTTCTGTACCCAAGTCAACGAATCGTACGGCTTGCGCCGCTCACTCGAGTTGATGCTTGGCCAAACCCAGCAGTTGATCGAATTATATCCCGAGGCTATTCGCTTGGCCGTCGCGTACGATGCAGCCCCTGAATGCATCCTTCCCAATTGTGTCCATACCTTCAAGTGTCATGCTGATTTTGGATCAGACCCATTTGAGGCGGCCGACCGCTCGTCAAGCGTCGACTTCACCTTGCTCAACCAGCTAATCTCATGTCACTACCGCCTTCACGACATTACAGAACTCATATTCTCGCACGCTCAAGTATGCTTCAAAATATCTGCCGCCTCCGCAGAATACGACGGCGTTGAGAACCATCGATTCGATATACCCGAACTTCGCATCGGTTCCTTCACTCTTTCCCCTGGATCCTCGCCTTCTGTCATGTCCGCCATCCTGGTTGATCTTCAGTCCTCCCTAGCCCGCTGCATCCCCAAGATTCAAGCCTCGTTAGAGGGAAGGGCCGGCAGAGAGTGCCAGGTACTGTCTTTGCAGTGCGACATGTTGAAAGAGCGTGCAGACTCCATTGTGGATCGCCTCACGAAACTCAGGGCCGCCGGCATCGAAGCCGGCATCATAACATGAGGCCCGCACTCCACCCATCACCTGCACAACTCCTCTGAGATGCCCCAGAATCATCCAGGTTACTGGAGATACACCAAGAGAGCCTCGCTGGTCCCAACGCTAAGGGTGACTTTACCCCCCGAGACCGCCGCTGTCTCGAATGTCTCCGTGCCGCCGGTAATGCAAGTGCCGTTGTTGAAGTATTGGCCGCCGATCAACGCGTTCCCGCCTCGATCTTGTCTTGCTTCGGCGCTGGCCGCAGTAACCCGCTTGGACCGGACACTCGTCGCTGACAGCCCGCTGAGAACGAAAGACTCGACAGCTCGCGTGCCGGAACCGCTGTAATAGTTGGAATTGTACAGAAGAACTCGAAGTGGGGCTCCCGCGGCGTCATAGGTGGCATACGCTGCAAAGGCAGACTTGCCATCATCCAAGGCGGCGACGTGCTTAGCCCCAGCCAGAAAAGCTGTTGCCGTGTATGCGCCGACATAGGGGTTGCCCATGGAGTATCTTCCAAAGAAGCTGTAGGGGTTATTGCCAATGGTTCCGTGATGGAAGTATACGCGGGAGACGTTTGACGTGGCTAGGCGCACCGCATAGTCCATCACCCACAAGGCAGCCCCAAACGTCGGGGACACGTTTGCCGCACCTCCTCCAGCGACTGTTCAGAGGTTAGCATGTTCAGTGGCTCAATCAAGGGGAGGGCGTCATCTCACCTGAGTTGGTCTCTCCAAAGACATACGGCTTGTTCACCGCCAAGGCACTGGCGATATCGCGATCGAATCTTACACCGTTCAGCATAAAGGCCTCGACGCATTTGCGCACAGAAACTTACAAGTGGATATTGGTTGCAATGTTCGCGTGAGACATCAAGCTGGATACGGTGCCGCCGGGGTAGTTGTGGTGGGCATACGTCTTCACATACTCCCTCACCGTGGCATTTCCGCTGGCAATCAACTCTTCGGCCCCCCACGTGGGAGGAAGGGAGTTTGAGTTTCCGGCTTGGATGATATTCTTCTTGCCAATGGCATTTCCGACGATGATATCCCAATTATTCTGCGACGCGGCATCCACGGCAGGGTTCCACGTGCCAGAAGCAATCGGCTGGACTCCCGACCAATCTGAGATAAACTTTGTCAGTTTGATTAAGAATGGATCCCGGACTTCGAACTTACACTCAGGCTCATTTCCGAGTTCAATCGCATAGAGATTTTTCATCTCTGCGACGGCGACCTTGGCTGCTGCAATGGTGTTGTCGATGTTGTTCTTGCCTCTGTTCAGTCCCAGAGTCACGTCGCCACCGTATGTCGCAGCCAGCTTCATGAAGTTCGGCCCGAAGGTCAGAGTTGCGGGCGCATCGTTTGGGCTCGCAACAGTGTACACAACATACGCTGACGAAGAGGCATCATAGGAGGCTCGGTCCTGGGTTGTCCCGCCGATCCGGATAGGTGGCCAAGCACCGCTCAGCGTCTTGAGGTTGGTCAGACATTGGTTTGTTGCGGTGACGTTCTGGAAGTACGAGGGGAAGGCAAAGAACTCGAATCTGGACGGATATCAGCAAACAAGCATGGCGCAAAATTCAAGTGGACTGACGAGATTCCGACGGGTGCTGCTTCGAGAGGCGCATAAGAGAGGCCGCCGGTGTTCACTTTACTGGGCACAGTGAAAGTGGCGGCCGAAACAAGTTGCGCCGTTGACGCCAGAAAAGCGAGCGAGGGACCAGACAACATGGTTGGAGAGCCTATGGGCGCGACTGAGCGAGTTCCAGCGATGATTGCGCGATCATATGTCCGGCGTTACAGTCAACGTCTTCGGGGCCTTCGGAGCTACTTATACTACTACTCTGATCTCGCCAGCCAGCATGCAGATAAGCCATGCTACAAAGGATCTGCCCATCATCAAGCCTTAATTTTTCCACCACATTAATGAGGTCTTTTCATGACAAGCTCAATACTTGACGTGCCTCAGCCGATAGCCCTTGCATAAGCGCTGGCCTCCTGCCGGTCCGGCCCCCTCATTGCAGAAAGATTGAGCTTGACTCGAACAACGCGTATTACGAGCATCTAGGCTCCGACACCCCCTATTGGAGCTTTTACCACATGCCGTTTTGCCGAGAGGTCAGGGTTCACGATGTCTGCCACGAGGGCGGCGAGGGGCGCAAGGCCACAAGCTTTCCCCGCACCTTAACCCGTCGACTTAAGTAATCAAGCTACTGTAGTGGGTTACATCGTGTCCTTCGCCACGGAGATCAGCTGAAAATGGCAGGATAGAAGTTCTTCACCTAGCCGCACTTGGCTGCGAAAAGCTATGGAGATGACTAGTGTTGCAGGCTCCCTTCGACCTTGTTTGAACAGGATGAGAATGGGCTCCATATTCTGCTGAGTGTAGCGCCCAGATTCTATCAAGGAAGCTGACAACAGGCGGGGTCTGATTTCTCGATATTGCACGTTGTGTCGCCCTGGCTCGAGGACCCACTGATATCAAGAGCACAACAGTTGTCACATCAGAGTTCGGGTCTTGAATGTGACGCGAGTATCATACAACTCTGATCTGATGTCTCCCTAATATGGCTAACTAACCATTGTCTCTGAATTCTGGGTGCTATTGGACGATTTGAGGACGTCAAAATGCCCTTGGCTACACCAGTCGACATTCTTGCTCCCTTTGGGAAGATCTGAAGGCTTTTCCCACGACATGCCGCTCGCACTGCAACCTAACACACCAGTGGATCGCCTCCCGGGGTTTTGTAGTTTTGGGGAACGGGGTAATAGATGTTCACGACGAGACCCGGGTCGTTGGGGCTATATGCGCCAGGGAACGACATCAAGTTAGGCTTGTACGTGCCTGTGCCGCCGCTGACACGGAGCTGGGCGCACGAGATGTACAATTGAGCGCCGCCGACGCTACTAGCGCTGTGAAGAGCAATGTGTTCGACGCGGAGGAAGTACTCGCCATCTGCGAGGCACCTGGGAATCTGGACGTTAAGCGTCGTTTTGCCTGGGGTATAAATGTTAATACGCGCGAGAGAGGCACAACAAGAGATGAAGGTGCTTGCCTGAAGTGGGCCAGGTCAGTCCGTTAGAGGTGACTGTCGGGCCGTCGTTGTAGACCTTGAACCACACTTTTCCGGAGCCATCGAAGTTTGTGATGGAACCAGAAGGCGCCTTGGCCATGTAGAAGTTGACTGGTCCGGGATGGGAGACGGACGCCTTGGCGTTGTAGCCTTTGAGGAACTGAATGTCAGCGAGCTTGCCTTTGATCGTGAATGCCAACTTGAACACACCAATCGTGGATCCTGCAGTCACATCCAGCACCGTGGCACCCTCGTTACCTGGGGCTAGCTGGTAGCATGTCATCTGCTGGGAGGTCACGTCCGTGACCGGTCCGTTGGACTGGTAATTCGTCGTCTTGCGGACGACTTCCCAATCTTGTGTGGTCTTGCCATTGTAAGTGACGGATGGAAATACATCTGAGAGGGTTAGTAAGTAGCACAAGGTGCCCCCAAGATGATAGGAATGTCGTACAGTGAGCAGAGGCAAGGCTGGCCAACGCGACAACCACCGAGGCCTTCATAGTGACGCTTAGGGGCTGTTGTTAATAGGTGGCTTCGAAAGAGGAGCAGCAGAGGATGGAAGATAATGTGCATCAATACGCGCAGGAGTTTCACCCGAATCCGTCACTAGATGCTGAACTTATATCTGTGAAGAGCTACAACGCAGATCCTGAACAAAAGGGAGAAAGTACGGCATCTACATATCAAATGACCAGACCTAAAGCACACGTACCATGGTTGCGATGCTACCGGCGATAGAACAGCCGGCGGGTAAAGTCGCTCATCCAGTCAACAGTGACCTGCAATATCATCCGAGGTGTCCTAACAAATTGATCCAGCCGGCAGTGGCATTCTATATTGCTAATATCTGACTGGAGGTTGCGGGCAAGACGCATGGAGGCATGGGATTTGTTGAACTGGGTTTCGTGTAAACGACATTTGGTTTGGAAATTGATCCCGACGCCCGACAGCCAATTGTGATGCAAACTATCTTGAAATTCGCGCTTCTTTCTTGCGCATACCCTTTCTACGAGAACGCCGGATAATATACAAATCTTGTGTCCCTCCTGTTTGCTAATGTAAAGCCAATCTGGCTATGTAGGACCGGCCACCTTAACTCGTCAAACATCTTATGACGCTGTTTGATCAGTCATCGTCGGTGTATCTAGGCCCGCTGGCCGCCGGTGTCTCGGGCGCGCCATAGGCAGCAGGGGTGGGGGCGCCGTAATAGCCAGAAGAGGAGGCGAAGCCACTGGCCGCCGGAGTGGGAGCGCCGGCCGCTGGTGTAGGGGCCGAATCAGCAGCCCAGCCTCCTTGCCATCCTCCACCAGGAGTCGGAGCACTCGCGGCCGCTGGGGTGGGTGCCGAATAGGCACCCGGTGTGGGAGCATTGAGAGCACCGGGTGTGGGTGCACCCAGGAGGTTTCCACCCGGCGTCGGCGCGTCGTAGCCAGAGTTGCCTGGGGTGTATCCCCATGAATCACTACCGCTGGCGCCGGGAGTGGGTGCAGAGCCTCCATAGGCAGGCGTCTTCGAGCCTGAGCCCCAGGCATCGCTCCCGCCATAAGCTGGCGTCTTCGACCCCAATCCAAAAGCGTCATGTGCAGGTGTCTTTGCGCCTGACTGCCATGCCGGAGTCCTTGAACCTCCGCCATACGCGGTTCTGTTACCATCGCCATAAGCAGTCCTTGAGCCGTCAGCCCAGGCGGGAGTGCGAGAGCCGGATCCGTAGTCCTGGCTGCTAGACTTCCAAGCAGGTGTTCTGCCGCCAGTCGGTGCAGGAGCTTGATTTATATTAGCAAAGTAATCATAGCATCTCATGTTGGGCAGTGACTCACTTCGTGAACCCCATGCGGGCGTCCTCTCCGCGCCGCTAGAGGCGACTGGTGTACGTCCTCCTTGCCAGTCTCCTCCACGCCCGCCTCCAGGAGCGCCGCCTTGGCCCGGTCTTGGACCCCGTCCATTGATGTCGATCTTGGCACCGGTATTCTTGTCCTTGAAGCTAAGATGGTCCTTGGGCACCGTGATGGTCTTGCTCTTGGTGTGCAGCTCAACACGGGCGTGAGTTTCCGTGGCATCTTTGACGATACCCAAAAGACCCTTGTAACCACCCTTCCGAATGATGACAGTTTGGTTGATAGAACGATCACGGCCGAAGGTCTTGGGAGGTGCCATCTTGCTCTCTGCGCCGCCAGGGTTGCGCTTCATCGCCGGGTTCATTTGATCCAAGTTGGGACCCGCTGAAAGCACGCGTCCACCCTTGGCAGCGATAGTTGTGACATTGCTAGCCTTGGTAACGAACACACCGGCGTTCTCGTTATTGTTGTTGCTGTGCAAGAATACGTATGCGCGGTGGATGTGAATGATTTTGCCCTGCCGTTGTTGGGCGCCATACTCCCTGACAACATCATCGAGCCGGATCTCGGAGCCGTTTCTATCGGCAGCCACAGCAACCTTTCTCTTCGGGAGTTTGTTGGCAATTTGGGATGGCATGACCTGTCTAGTGTCTCCGTTTTGATCGAGCACAACCACTGACTCGCGATCGACCTTAACGATGCAGCCCACAGTGGTCGGGTCCAGCTGAACGAGGTCAAAGAGCTCGTACTGACCCAACGCACCTTGGCCGCCAATATCGCTGGCTTCACGCAGATCTTTGCTGAAGACCGTGACCTCCGTGTTGGTTTGGTCGGTCAAGAAGGTTACTCGGTCTTCGGAAATCTTGACAACCATACCAACTTCGTCGCGGAATCGGCTGCCGCTGGTAACCTTGACATGATCTCCGATCTTGAATCTCTTTCTCAAGCCCTTGGTAGGGACCTCAATGACCTGACCTACGAGGTCTCCCTCCGTAACCTGCATCGTGACGATGTCGCCTTGGACGTTTGTTGCTTTTCCAACGACGCCCTTTTGCTCACCATCGTAGACTTCGATGACATCGCCGGGAAGGTAAGTGACGTTGATGTTGCTGTCCTTGAGGCTGGCAGCAAGGGCTTTGAGATCGAGATTTTCGGTACCATCCTCAGCGCCGGAAGCGAACCTAGTGACTTCCTCTAAAGTGGGGTTGACGTCCGTGACAACTAGCTGCTGGATCTTAATATCCTTCACCTGGAAGCCGTTCTCAAACTCATCACCCATGTATGTCCAAACCTTGGTCGTCGGGTTTCCTTGGATATGCCGGGGGTGACGTTTTCGGGCCTCCGTCTCGTTGAACAAACGCTGTGGCGGTCTTGGTCCAGGCACGCCAACGGGGCGCTTCCGTTTGCCATCAGAGGTAAGGGCGGCAAGGGCATCATCTCTCATGCCGTAGTCAAGACGCGGGATGAAGCGGACTCGGGCTTCAAGACCATTTTCGGTAACGTCAATGACTTGCGCCAGGTCACCGGCGTGCTTGGCTGGCTTGCGAAGCCGGACCCAGGCACCAGGCTCGAGAGTGGGCGTCTTGGTCACACGGAGCAAGTCGGGCATGTCCTTGATGTCGACGAGAATCATCTTTGACCGAGGGTAGACGTTGAACATGCCGTCTAGCGCAACCATAATATCCGTTGAACGATTGGCCTCGACGTAGATGTAGCCTTTCATGACGGAGGTTGGGCCGCCACGTTCGAAAGCCGAAATGATAGCCAACTCATCCTTGGTGCCCATCCGCTCATCGATACGCTTCATGATAGAGTAGACGACTTCTCGCTCCTTGCCCTCCTTGCACCTAACAGCCCAGATCGTAGGATCCTCCACACTAGGCATCAGGAGGCGCTTGGGGACAACAGTGGAATCGCCGAAGCCCTTGTTGGGGCGACGGTTACCGTAGCGCTGTCGAAGAATTTCGGCCTGCTTCTCAGCATCCATGCTGGACTCCATCTCGCGTCGGCGATCCAGCTCGCGGTGCCTTCGGTCATCGTCGAGGCCTCCACTTTCGGCAATGTCGTCAGGATGAGCGTTGTCGATGAAGTCCTCTATCTCTTCACCGTCTTTCTCCTCATCCTCGCCATCTTCTTCGTCCTCGACCTCGGCCTCGATATCGAAGAAGACGGCGCGACGATCCCTGCGACGCTTGCGACGATGTCCCTGTAGAGTAAAGAAAACATTAGCAGTGTATCAATCTGCGGAGGAGACGCAGAACGAGTCGGCCAGATGCTCGAAGCTTGACGTATCCCCCTGTTAAAAGGAACAAGGAAAGCGAACTGCGAAAGCGGAAGGCTTACCTGCTGAACATCATCCTCGTCTTCTTCATCCTCGTCGTCCTCTTCGTCATCGTCGTTTTGGCCACCCTCCTCATCGTCTTGCTCATCATCCTCATCGTCATCTACTCGTCGAGATTTGGGGGCAGCGGCGGCGTCGTCATCGTCAGCAGCAGGGCTGCTCTCTCGCGCATCGCTACCCGCATGTCGCTGACCAGAGTTGTGGCTAGGTTCGTCGTCAGAGAGATCGGCAGGCGCAGGGTTGAAGTCATCCTCGTCGTCCGAGTCATCGTATCGATTGTGGTCGTTCGAAGCCATCTTGAAGGCAATTAGAAGAAGCGAACGTTGTTGGCCTCAAGTTTTTGGATGGCGACGTCAGGCGAAGACAGGTTTCGTTTGGCTCTGCTGGCGCAGAGTTGTAGAGAAGAGAAGGCCACTTCGAGGCTGGCACTCTTCCAAGGGGTTCGTTTATATTAAATATTTGGACGTAAGAAAGGACAACCGAGGGGAAGGAGCTACCATACAGTCGACGGCTGGGTTGGGAAGGCAAAAGATTGAGAATAAATTGTAGGTCGAGTCGAGGACGGAAAGCTCAGCCATGGTTACCTTCACGCGAAGGAGGCCCAGATTCCGTCTGAATACGGTTTAGCGTCAAAAGACACCTGAGGCAGGCCGGTTGTGGTTCGCCTGGGCAGCGTGCTGCAGGCAATCAAGGTGCCCCACAAAAGTCCATGGGAAGAATAAGTGCTGAGGTCGGTATTCGTACCTTACCTTAGGTAAGGCACCTGAGTATGTGTCTTTAAGTAAGCCCAGCTGAAAAGGCGCCGCGAGCACCTAGCAAGGGATACCAAGGGAGATTTACCGAACCACAGGTCGTTCTCCCCGATACAGTCAGTCTAAGAGAGGTTGAGCCGGCCCAAGCCTCGGCCTCTTTATGTCCAGCAGCAGTGAGAATCTTTCAAATAGAATAGCGACCTCCGCACGAGGATGCTGCGTAAAACTTCCCCAGTATCGAAGCTTCAATCACTGATGGCATCTTAATGTTCAGTGCCGGTTTTCGTTCGATATTTCAGTGTGCCATTGCTCCTCGGATACTACTAGTTAAGGTAGTTTTTGTAGCAAGCCTGTTATGTCGCCAAGTTCAAACATGAAAGCGATAGTAATCAACGACTTTGTCAAGGTCAGTGGGTCGCCCGCAATGTTAACAGACCAGACTAATCGAGTTCAGGACTTTGACGAGATCACGGTCGCTGAGGTCGAGAGACCTGTTCCCAATTCGAATGAGGTGCTCGTCCAAGTGAAGGCTGCCGGCATCAATTATGTGGATACGCTCTATGCATGTGCTTCCCTTCAAGTTGCTGTACCCATCGACTAACGGGGCCGCGTGCAGGCGAAAGGCAAACATCAGAATAACCAATCTTTGGTCCGGCCACCATTCATATTGGGTCTTGAGTTCTCGGGAGTAATTGTCTCGGCACCATCGGATTCGGGCTTCCGCCCTGGCGACAGAGTCTTTGGAGGGCACACTGGCTCATACAGCGAATTCATATGTCTTCCTCGTTCAGATTCTCTGCACCACATGCCAGCCAAATGGACGTTTCCGCAGGCTGCTGGGTTGGCAGCGACGCTACCCGTCTCTTTTGCCGCACTTATGCAAGCCGGCATCAAAGCTGGCCAAACAGTTCTCGTACACGCTGCAGCAGGCGGTTTGGGCACCATGGCTGTCCAAATTGCTGCCGCTCTGGGTTGCCGTGTAATCGGTACAGCTGGGTCCCAAGCCAAATGCACCGTGGCTACGCGGTGCGGAGCTCATGCTTGCGTAAACTACCTCGAACACACGGCATGGTGGGAGCAAGTACTAGAATTGACTGATGGCAAAGGAGCTGATATTGTTTTTGATCCCGTCGGCCTCGTTGACCCTAGCTTGAAATGCATCGCTCATCGGGGGAAAGTGTTGGTTGTTGGTTTTGCAGGTATACAAGACAACATGGAACGAGTAGTTATGAAACGCGTTCTTCTGAAGCAAGTCTCGCTCATTGGCTATGTGGGTTCCTCCTTTCACTCAAGCATTGTCCGTTTGCTGATAGAGGCACGCAGCGGTATGGCGAAAGTTCTCGTCGGTATCCTCAGGAGCAAAAGGCCACCTGGGATGGGCTTGAGCCGTTGATGGAAAGCGGGAGTATACAACCCGTGGTTTACGACACGCATTATGATGGGCTTCATAGTGTACCTCGGGCGCTGAGAGACATGGTGGATCGGAAGATTTGGGGCAAAGCCATCGTCACAATAGCCAGCGGTTCACCACTGGCAAGGCTTTGAAGTCCGGAAGTGCTTTGCAACATTTTTTGTGCAGGAAAGACACCGCACAATGATTATGACATTTCAAATCCACCTCCTTCCTTTCCCCTATGCCCGCCGGTATATAGCCATCCGCCATTCCAAGATTTTGTTTCTGACCACCAACCGAGAAGCCGTGCTGAGCCGGGGGGCAAGATTCTTCGTCCGCACTATGAGAAACCGTAAGGTACGAAGCTCCGACCACGGTAGCATTCCTCCCACAAGTGGCTCAGGGCCCATTCCCAAACGCCAGGCTTCGCGATGCATATACCACAATTGACCAGCCAGATCTATGAACAGGGTGGCAAGACGGCCAGATGATGCCACTCTTCGTCATCCCGCTCTTCAGACACCAGACCGTCCGCATGTCTTGACACCCCAAAGACCCCTGCCTGCGCTCACTCCCAACCACTCTCCTTGGTCGCTGGAGAGATGCGGTACCCACGCAAGGTTGCCGACTTCGTAATCACACTGCCAGCTAGCGAATGGGCTTCGTGTGCTATCGGGCTGGCCGGCGCCATTGGCAGCAGGACCGCCACCGAGGGAGTGGTTGTTGTTGTAGACATCCCAGAGCAAGACTTGGCAGTCGTCTCCTCCGGAAGCCAGGACGCCTCGCTTAAGGGGCGACCATTCGATGCTGTTGAGCGCACCGCCGTGGCCGCGAAGTTCCAACAAGGCCTGTCCAGGATGGCGCACGTCCAGAATGCGAATAACGTTGGAGTCCTGCGCAAACGTAGCCAGCAAGTGAGTGTCGTGAGGCGACGTCGCCAGTCTCAGCAAAGGAGGAGGGTTCGACATGGTCTGCTGGGCCAGGGTAGGACTGATCCGACCGCCATTGGCATCTGTGAAATCGGGTTAGCAAAGGCGCGAGGTGACTCTGCAATTCACACGACGTACCTCGGTCATCCTTGCCCGTGGGCTCGTATATAATTGTGCTATGCTCAAGACTGCGCAAGTCGAACATGCGGACACTGCCGTCCTGTCCACAGCTCACGAACACATCCACACTATTGGCACAGAAGCGCACGTCATATACCTCCTTGTCATGAGCAATCAATTGCGTCTTCGCCGTCAATGAGGGGATATCCCAGATTGTGCAGGTCGTGTCTATGCTCGAAGTAATGATCAAGCTTGGGGAGACCGTGTTCCAGTCCAATGAGGTCAGCGGCGCAGTGTGGTCCGGGGTTTTGGAGTTAGAGAGAAGCGCCAAAGGGGTGAGCTTTGTGACGCCGGGATCCCTGCCTTGTCGGTTGATCGAGTTGCTCTGGGACACAGGGCTTTCCGAGGGCAAAGACCACAATCGGAGGTGATCGCCGGACGTCGCAAGGAGATCGGTGGATTGTTTCTGCGAAGAGGGCGGTTCCCATAGGAGGCGGGTTACGGGGTACGAATGTGTGGCTTCGGCAACCTTTGAGAATTCGAGATTGAACTTGGGAGTTCCGGGCTGGTAGACGTCGTTGGGGGTCGGCACCATTTGGGTATCGAGGATTTGAATCTACGATAAAAAAGTCAGCATAGTCCTAGGCTGGCCAATGGGGTAAATCCGGGCCCTACAAAATTGTGTCCGTCCTCCAGATAGCTACCGACGGCGAGCTTGCCCGCTCCGTTGCCCTGAGGCGGCCACTTGCACCAGTCAAAGGCATAGAGTGCCCAAGGAGCAAGATAGTTGCTCGTTCCGGGCTGGACATTGGCGAGATCGAAGGCGGTGCTGCCAGGCACGCCATCCGACATACCAGAGTCGGCACGGGGCCGAATATCAGCCAAGCCTAGCGGAGTGTTCGAAATGTTCCGCTGAGAGCCGGGAGCATTGTATTTTTGATCTGGCGGCGACATGAATTGAGAACCGGATCCGCTGGGGGTCGTGGGGGTGTAGGGCGCGAATGTTGCGGCGCCTTCGTAGTTGGCAGCGGGGGAGGAGCGCGAGTAACTGTGTGTGAGACTCAAGCTGGGCTTGGAAGGGGTCTGGTAGTCTTGCGACTGCTGAGGCATTGTAGCCATGGCCGGGGCGGTGGTTGCGGTGATGGCGGGGGGACGGCCACCTGCACCGCCGGGTTGCAGTACGTTGGGCACCGACGATGTGCTCTGGAACTGGGGGGCGTTCGGAGAGGCCTGGTCCAGCTTGATCTGGGGAGCGGCGGGGGCGGCGGAGGAGGACGAGTATTCGCGGGGCGATAGCTGGCCGTGCTGCATCATGCCAGCAGGCATGTGCAGTTCGTCGTGCTGGGAGCCGTATGTGTTGGTTCGACGCGGGGTGGCCGAGGAAAACTGCTGTTGCTGCTGCGGCGGCGGCTGTTGCTGCTGCTGAGGTGTCGGTTGTTGTTGCTGGTTCATGGCCGCGACGGAGAAGGACGGCGCGTGGGAGGACGAGGAGAGATGAGTGACGGAGGGGGAAAGGCCCGGCGGCCCTGATGTCTCAGTCGCAGTGGGGTGTGCAGGCAGCGAATAGGTCGAATCGTGGTGATGATGGTGGTGCAGCTGGTGGCCATGGACCGGATGCAGCGCGGCGGGAATGGAAGCACGCTGCTGCTGCTGCTGCTGCTGGGAATATGAATGAGAGCGGGAGTGATAGGAAGGGGAGTGGGAGTAGGAATAGGAATGGGAGTGAGTGGGCGAATGCGAGAGGTCAGAAGATTGCGAGTAGGAGTGGGAATGGCGAGGCTGGAGGGGACGGGAGGAAGCGGAGTCGGGAGCGGCAGCGGCAGCGGCGAGGGGAGAAGGAGGGGCGGCAGCGGCGTTGGCGATGTTGAGGCCGCGATCGTGGTGATTCAGGTGCTCGGCGTCGTCTTCGTAGTAGAAGTTGGCGACGGCGTGTTTCTTGGGCGCAAGGGGCCCGGTCGCAGTCGCAGTCGCAGGCGCGGCTCCTGAGGCGAATTGAGGAGATGAAGTTGGAGAAGGAGAGAGGGTTATGGAAGGAGGATGATTGGGGTCGCGGTTGGGCGACAGATGCCGCTGATGCTGGTGTTGCTGGTGTTCGGGCTGCAGCTGGTACTGCAACCGCGGCGACTGCTGCTGTTGCTGAGAGTGGGATGACAAGGCACCAGAGGGCGAGGGTACCGGATTGGGCAGCGAATGGTGGAGGGAATCGGTGGCCGCCGTAGCGTCGTCCATGTCCATGCTGGCGCTGACGCTGAGGCTGGCCTGGCTGTGGCTCCGGCTATGGCTACGGCTCTGGTTCTGGCTCTGGCTGATGGCGTTGGCCGCAGCAGTGCTGCTGGCAGGGGCCCCAATGGAGCCCAAGGCCTGGGCCGCTTGCCAGAGCGCCGAAGTTGCGCTGAGCCGATGGGAATGTCGCTTGTGCTGCTGTTGTTCTTCCTCCTGCTTCTCCTTGTCGCCGACGCTCTGCTGCGACGCCGACCGGCGATGGCCCAGGAAATGCATATTTGCTGGTCAGGGCAAGTGGCCGTGATGTATGTAGAGTACCTAGGTAAGGAAAGGTAAGGTATGCAGGTTGCGTGGAGCCTCCAGCACAGGGCAAAACGGACGAGAGCAGAACAAAAACACCTGCTTGTCCAAGGAGCCCGGAATGACACGGCACGCGGCGAGGGACAGACCAGAGCAACACCAGCCGATGCCTGTGTTCGAGTAAGTCAGGCAAGGTACCGTGCCTCAACTCGGCGCACAAGACACGAGGGTCCTGATGCTACGTACTTGGCTGTAAAGAGTCAAAGTACTCTGGATCAATAGGAGCAAGAGAGTAATGAGACAGACCATGGGCAAGACTGACGACGAACGGTGGTGATGTCTGGACGCTCCGGAACACGAACACACAAACTTTGTCTTGGCCTCCGTCCGCGCGCTCCGCGTCGTCACTGCAGGAAAAACCGCCCTTCTACGGCATCACTTCTGACTAATAAAACGGCCTCCCAGTTGACTTATTGGCGCTGGACAAGGAGACGGGGGCCTTGGACGGGACGGGGGCAGATGATATAGGGATGCGCGTTGTTGCGAATCGTTTGGGATGCCGCGTATGTACTCTCCAATGTCTCGTCTCCCACAACCTCATTGCGTGAAGCTTGCCCTTCTCCCCTGATGGCTCCCTCCATGGAACTAACGGTTCAATGCCAATAAAGCTGCCAATGCTGCCAATTCCACATGGACGCACCTGATATGTCCCTGGCTTTAACTTGCCTAACCTTGTCTTGCCCAAGATGGCGCACAATACCTTGCCTTACCTGACTTTCCGCTCCTCGCCCACCAGCCGTGCCTTGCTTGAACCAAGTGCAACAAAACCTCTTCCTTGCTGGTGGGTTGGGATATCTGCACGCCGGCTGCCTGACTGACTCTTCCTCTTGGGCCAGAATGTGAGGCTGGGCGAGACTCCTTCCGACCGGTGCCCAACCCGTAAAACAAACAAGAAAACACATGGGAAACAAGGAAGAGGTGCCTTCAAAACGTCACATTGAGGGCCCATCCCCAGCTAGGTAGACCCAGTGGAATGGAAGTTTGTGGGAAATAAAAGACTGGAGACTTCAGACCAGACTTTCTCTGCTGTGTTAGGTTGGACCAAGCTTGGGCTCTGAGTAATGACTGACATTACATAAGCCACTAGGTACTCCACAAGCATTTGCTCCAGTGAATCAATGCTTACATGCAAGTCACCTTTATAAGCTTATCGGATTTCTTTCCAATGGATATTTCTTCCAGGTTGCGATAAGGAGCTAAGTCCAGTGACGTCTGTAGCTGGAGCAGAAAGGGTTGCCTCGTGCTGAACCGTGGCACATGCTCGGAGCTCGTGAGCTCGACACATTTACCTTCAGTTGCTGGCTTTCGTGACAAATCTTTGCCGTAGCCATAGCAGCCCCCGGATTCTCAAGCCGTGCCGGCCCATAGACTCCCCCATATCATCAACTTCGCTTCCGCGCCCGACAACTTGCTTACTCGTACATCTTAGCTGTCATCATTCATAGTATTACGCCATTCCACCCCATTCCACCCCATTTCTGCCGATTTGTCGCTCAAACAGCCCGACAGTCCTGTCGGCATCGTCCATGTGTCTTGATGGCCCCAGACTCCCCAAGATTCTTTGATCGGCTCTCGCTGAGCCGAAACAAATCGCCTCTCCTGCCGCTGCATATCTCTGCCGAAAGACGTGCAAACGATTACGATCTCGACGAACTGTCCCCACGACCGCACGACGCTCTGCTTCCAGAGTCGCCGCGAACACCCATTACGATGTCAAGACGCCGCTCTCCGTCTCCTGTGGACCCGTGGGATAAAGATGTTTTGGACGAAGACCCCCTCAGTCCCGCTGGGTCTATCTCCAAACTGAAGCCCAGGGCTAAGGCCTTGTTCGCCGGCCCTCCACCGCCGATCGCCGCCTCGATTCTGGTTCAGAATCCACCGCAGGGCAGAAGAAGTTCTAGAGAAGGTTCCAAAGCCGGTCGCAGTAGTCATGCGGCTGGGGGCATGGCCCCGAGCCGAGTCAGTTTCGGGAGCATTCTGTTCGATCAGAGTTCGCGCGGGTCAAGCTCCTCGTCCAGAGGTGATTCAATATGGCGCAACCTACAACATCGGGAGCGAGCGTTGCAGAAGGAAGTACAGCAATTGCTGGACATGCAGGCCACGGGACTAGCGCCTAGCAATGAGTCGACAGACACCATTGCCACAGGTGGACAGGACGCCTGGAGTGACTCAGGGAGTAGTACGCCCACGGGGACATTCTATTCTACAGCATCATCAAAGTCGCGGATGATGGCATCGCTCGATCCACCAGTGCGCGCGACCGCTCGTGGCGACATCATACCTGTTCGGCAACCGAAGACCTCGGGGCCTCAAGGCCTTCAGACCGCACGCAAAGGCTTGCGGCGTGCTCTAACGTACTTGACTGACTTGAAGTCCGAAGAGAACTCCTACATCGAATCCGCGCTGTCACAGCGCAAAAAGGCACTTTCGCATTTGGGCAACCTTTGCAGTCGTAAAGAAAGCATCTCTGCAGAGCTTCGTAGCCTTGCAGACAATGAGGAAGAGCCGCTGGGCAAAGAGCTTCGAGACCTTGGCGACCAGCATGAATCCTTGGGCCAGGAGATTCGTGAGTTAGAGGAGAAGCTCGTTGGCATGAGAAACAGGCATCGATGGCTCGAACGTAAAATGGCGGATGTCCGCAATCGCCGAGAGGCCGGCTTGAGCGGGTACAGAGGTGCGCTGAAGGAGGTCGAGGGCGAGGTTGCGTCTTTACTCCACCGGCCCCCCATTGAGCCTCTCGATCCCGACGTAGTCGAGGCTGTATCACGTACAGACCCTGGATCATCTTACGGGGCGAACGATTTGCCTGGGGGCGCTGATTTCTTTCGCATGATACCCGCCCGGCGTACGCTTAGCATGGCAAAAGACTGGTGGGAAAGTGAGGTCGACTTTTTGGAGCGACGGAAGGCCCAGGTTGACAAGGATCGTGAGGCACTCGACCAGGGCACGGCATTGTGGCAGGAAACCGTCGATCTCATCACCACGTTCGAGGCCGACCTGCGGAAGTCACTAAGCAGCGGCGTGAATGAGAAGGGCAAACAGACCCCGCGGATGCAGGAAGAGGCCGTTCAGTCGATGCTACCCAGGATGGGCAAGGTGATCCTGGAGCTCGAGGAACATATGCGGACTGCGGAGAAGAACAGCTGGAACCTCCTGATATGCGCCATCGGCGCTGAGCTCGAGGCGTTTAGAGAAGCTGAGCGCTTGCTTCGTAGCAGCCTCCCGCAACCCAGGGCGGAGGTTGGTGATGTCGAGGAACCCTGGCCAAATGATGAAGGCCAACAAGAACGCAACGAGAAGGATGCCGATGCCGTCGAGACGAATTCTGTTGGTAGCCACCACGACGAGAGTGACAACGAAGTACCGCCTGATTTGCTCGTATCGCACCTCGAAGAGCATGACGACGCACAACCACACGCCAAGCCCATTGGAGCTTCCTCGAGACGAGACAGCGACAACGAAGTGCCGCCAGAGTTCTTGGCTGAGCACAGTCTGTAGATTGTCTTCTTGGCCGGATTGAGGGAGCGCTGATGGATCACATTCGAGGGACTTGCGGTGACTGGTCGAGAGCACACGGCATGGATGATGAGTTGCGGGGAGGACCCCTAACTACGACTGCATTGGATTACTTACATTATGGCAAACGGCATTGGATAGGACAGGGCACGTAGGACAGGATACCCCACGAATAGTCAGTTTGAACGGCGTTTATCGGAATGCCTAGGAATCGATTTGCATCAAAGCCCACAGTTCGCCCGTCCCCATGTGCTCTCCGTCACGAGGCAATTTAGGTAAAGTCGCGGGTACGTACAAGTGAGCTGCAACTGTGGCGCACTGGATTGGTTGGTAACCTCGGCTATATCTGTATTTTGCGACGAGGACGATCCCGAAAGTGGGGTCTGAAGGTCCGGTGGTAAGGATACACGGGGGAGCCTGCGCCAGAGGCTTTTATAAAGAAAAGCTGGGCGACGAGAACGCCGTCTCGTCCACCATGCCCAACGACATTTGATAGCCCCCGCAGCACGATTCTAGCATCGCACGTAACATCTTCAGGGAGCAGAGTTTTGTCCGAAATCGAGAACACCGACCGGGTGCCCGCCGAGGCGCCACGCCCCGACCACCCGACCCTCGCCGAGCGTTCACCCAGGTGCCGAATCCCCCACGCAGCCGCCGAGCATTGCTGCGCCAATATTTGCAAGAAAAATGGCCGAATAGACGAGAAAATTGGAATGGTCGTTGGAATAGTCGTCGCGCCGTCGAAATTCATGAAAGGGGGGGGGGAGGAGGAGCAGTCATCGTCGTCCATCTACCGCGTACGCTCAAACCATCCGCTGGAGCCGGCGATCGCAACCGACTGGTCCATCACCCACTCGCCGACACCGAGATACTTGTCAATCCACTTCGACATGTCCTTGTTCTCGCCCGCGGCTCTGTCAGTCTTGAAACTGGGTCTGACGATTCCCAGAATGGGCACTTGTCAGCTGCCACGCATTCTCTTGACGCAGATTTGCACCTGCGGGTGACAGTTCTGTCCTGTCCAGTTCGGATCGATACTCACGTAAGGCCTGTCGAGCGCTTCATGCCAGCGAGGAAGGCGGAAACTGTAGGTAAAAGCATCAGCCGGTTGTCGTCCGACGGATCGGGGCAGTAAGAGAGAGGGGGGGGCAACGAACTGAGAACCGCATCGAATGCGTAGTGAGTCAGACGCCCAAACTTCGACCACAGCCCCAGAGTCAGCAAGTTGAGGAGCTATACGGAGGTTAAGACTGCGCAAGCAAGTCGAAGACGAGGCAGCGAGCGAGCACGCACGAGGAGGACTCGCCGCGCGGCCGGAAACGGGGGGAAGGAGGTGGTACCAACCATCTTGAAGATTCAGGTTTGTTGTTTCTGTTTCTTTTTTTGGCGTCGTTGGTTGAGGAGTTTGCGTGTTTCTATTCTCCTTTGCGTTTTGGGTTTTGTTGGTGTCGAAGAGGCGGTATCGTCGCTTGGGTTTTGGAGACAAAGGGTGTTGTCATGGGACAAGGCTCGTCTGGCACACCACCAGGGTGGACACTTTTCGCACCTGAGAGGACCCCACGGGAGGATGGGCTGGCGGCGACTGGTGCAGCGAGTGCTGTGCCTGGCCTGAGGTGGTCGGTGAGCGGTGCAAAGCTCGCGTGGACTGTGCGCTACTGCGTCCGCTTAGGTACCTGCCAGGCCTCAGGCTGCCGGGCCGCCGCCGAGGGTGGGCCGTTCATGTTCATCGTGGCACCGTCCAGCGAGGTGTCTGCGGCGATAAGGAGCGCGCGACTTTGGGAGAAGTACCTCTCTCTGAGACGGTCAAGTACCTCGACGTACCTCGATACGGAGCTCGCGTTTCAGTGGAACCAAGCGTTGTCAAAGTCACGTGGCCCTGAAGTCAGCTCCAAGTGGGGTCAGGTTGCTCTCATCGGTTACCCGACGAACTCTGTTTGTTGCATATTTCTCGCTTGGAGTCTTTTCGACGGTTTTTCCCTCTTTAGCCCCCTCAACGGTCTGCCCGTAGGCGCTCCCCTGCCTGGACGGCCGATAAGCGGCGGTGCAGGACGCGACTCGGTGCATGGTACCGTTATCGGGACAATTTGATTCGCGTCACGACGAAGAGGGGAATGGGATTGGGCGATCTGGTGCGGACCTTGGACCTTGTGCCTTGGGTCTCGGAGTTGGAGGACTTTTCCTCCTCCGCGGTTCAGATTCAGTGCCCCGTCGATTTTGGAGGGCCGGAGCTACAGTACCACTTATCTTTTTGACGAGGGCATTGGACATTCCGCGGACAGGCCAGGAAGCACCCCAAGTGGACCAGGGGACCTCTCCACTGCGACGCTTTCCCTTTTTTTTAGCTGGTGGGGAGCCCTGCTGGAGAGCCAAGGTGTCCAGCAATGGAGGGGCTTGGAGGGGTCGGGCTGGCGCTGCCGCACCCGTTGGAAATAGCTGTGTGTCAAAAGCATGAGCTCTGGTTTGTTGAGTGTTTGAGGCTTTATGGCCCAGCGCCCAGCCAAGGTCGCCCAAGGAAACGGAGCTCCGTCGCAGAGTGGGAGAAGGGACAGCAGAGATTGGACACTACCAGGAACTCGTGGACTTGGGCAGAGGCAGAGAGGACCCGGACCAAATGGTCGGAGGCGAGCGAGGGATGGGACTGTTGAAGGGGAACTTGGGAAGGGAAGGTGGGAAGAAGAAGAAAAAAACACGAAAGAAAGGCCGAAACTAACAATGCTATTGAAATCCCTCACATCCCATCCCGTCCATGCTCCCCGTTCCGCCATCCCCGCCGGTGTCTTCTACTACCTCCCTCCTCCCATTACTACTGTTCGCGGGGTTCCCTCTCTTGCGGGCTTCTCTTCATCATTTATTTTTATTTTCCGCCGCACCGCTTCTGAATCACTTCACGTTGGACAGCATCACGCTCGAGCGTCGACGAGAGAATAAATAGCTTGGCTCAGGTAAGTGGAACGAGTCGCATCAACACCAGCACCAAGCACTGCATCCCACGTCTACACCCCTGCCAGTTTTGTTTCTGCGTCTGGTCCTGTTTCTGTTTTCTCTCCCAGTTCCGCCTGGCACTATCACTGGCCTGACCTCACCTTACCCGACCTTGGGTCTCGCGTCACCCTGTTCCGGCTGGGCATTCTATTTACGTGTACTGCCGGGTTTGCGCCGGTGTGCAATGTACACAGAACGTGCGTGCCGAGCAGTGGGAAGACCAGAGAAAAAAGGTGAGGTGAGGCGGGAAAAGGGCAAGTGCGCACATACCAGAGGATGGGCATGAACAGGGTCCCCGTCCGGGAAAGGTGAGGTGAGGAAGGGACGAGGGTGCTGTCACAGCACCTCATGTTAGTGGGGCTCCCCGGTGGTGCTGGGTGCCCGGCGCTGCCAAAGCTGCTGGGTTCCCGGTCTGTTAGCAACGTTGGCTGATTGCTGCCACTGCGTTGAATTGAGGGGCAGTTTTCCCACCCGACCCCAAAAAGTCAATGGAAACCAACGAGGGGCAGCAGCACCGCACCAAGGTCCAGCGCCAGCCAGCGCTACCGGGAAACCGCCGACGCCGACCACCACCACCGCAGCAGCAGCGGCAATCTTCAGACGGACAGCAAGCAGCTTCTTCACTCGGTCTGGGCCAAGCAGCAAATTATTTCTCTTGCTCCCACCTCGTGTGTCTTGTCTGTCTGCCCTGTCCTGACGTCTGTTGTCTCTGCTCTGTCTTCCCCCCCCCGTCCTTCAACAAATACCCATCTTGGTTGAGGCTCCCTGTCTGCATAAATCTTGTACTTTAGGGTCTCACCCATCCATCAGCCATTAGATTTTTTTTTTTTATCTCTCACTGTCCTCCCACTCCCACTCTCCTCACATCATCCCTCTTCCTCCTCCAACCCTCCACTGCCTGTCGACCAAGCAGGATCTAATAGCTGCCGCAGACCAGAGATTGTCACGACGCCAGCTTATCCACCTCTCCCTTCGAAATCGATACCCCGCCGTCAAATCTTCACAATGGCTGCTACTGCTCAGGACCACCTTGATGTAGGCGGAAAGATCGCCTGGCTCTCCAGCCTCGACACTGCCTACCAGCCCGAGAAGAACTACCGCCGCTCTTCCATCATCTGCACCATCGGTCCCAAGACCAACTCTGTTGAGGCCATCAACGCTCTGCGCAAGTCCGGTCTGAACGTCGTGCGCATGAACTTCTCCGTGAGCCACCCCGCTGCCTCTCCCTGTTTGACGGCAATCGGCTAACATGTTATCCACCAACAGCACGGCAGCTACGAGTACCACCAGTCCGTCATTGACAATGCCCGCGCCGCCGAGAAGGCCCAGCCCGGCCGTCAGGTCGCCATCGCCCTCGACACCAAGGGCCCCGAGATCCGCACCGGCAACACCAAGGACGACGCTGATATCCCCATCTCCGCCGGCAAGATCATGAACTTCACCACCGACGACCAATACGCCACTGCCTGCGATACTGAAAACATGTACGTAATATCCCTGCCTCACGAAATTTTTCTCGGCCGCTAACACTTCTGCGCAGGTACGTTGACTACAAGAACATCACCAAGGTCATCGAGCCCGGCCGTATCATCTACGTTGACGACGGTGTCCTGGCTTTTGATGTCATCAAGGTCGTCGATGACAAGACCGTCCAGGTCCGCGCCCGCAACAACGGCTTCATTTCCTCCAAGAAGGGTGTCAACCTACCCAACACCGATGTCGATCTTCCCGCTCTCTCCGAGAAGGACAAGAACGACCTGAGGTTTGGTGTCAAGAACAACGTCGACATGGTCTTCGCCTCATTTATCCGCCGTGGCCAGGACATCACGGACATTCGTGACGTCCTTGGCGAGGAGGGCAAGCACATCCAGATCATTGCCAAGATCGAGAACCGTCAGGGTCTCAACAACTTCGAGGAGATTCTCCAGGAGACCGACGGTGTCATGGTCGCCCGTGGCGATCTCGGTATTGAGATCCCCGCCGCCGAGGTCTTCGCCGCCCAGAAGAAGATGATTGCTCTGTGCAACAGGGCCGGCAAGCCCGTCATCTGCGCCACCCAGATGCTCGAGTCCATGATCAAGAACCCTCGCCCTACCCGTGCCGAGATTAGCGATGTTGGCAACGCCATCACTGACGGTGCCGACTGCGTCATGTTGTCTGGCGAGACCGCCAAGGGTAGCTACCCTAACGAAGCCGTTTCCGAGATGCACGAGGCCTGCCTCAAGGCGGAGAACACGATCCCCTACGTTTCGCACTTCGAGGAGATGTGCACTCTGGTCAAGCGTCCCGTCAGCGTCGTCGAGTCTTGCGCCATGGCTGCTGTCAGGACTTCTCTCGACCTGAATGCCGGTGGTATCATCGTCCTGTCCACCTCTGGTGACTCCGCTCGCCTTCTCTCCAAGTACCGTCCTGTCTGCCCCATCTTCATGGTCACAAGAAACCCCTCTGCTTCCCGCTACGCTCACTTGTACCGGGGCGTTTACCCCTTCCTGTTCCCCGAGGCCAAGCCTGACTTCAGCAAGGTCAACTGGCAGGAGGATGTCGACCGCCGCATTAAGTGGGCTGTCGAGAACGCTCTGGAGCTCAACATCGTCAGCAAGGGCGACACCGTTGTCGTTGTTCAGGGGTGGAAGGGCGGCATGGGCAACACCAACACCATCCGTATTGTCAAGGCCGACCCTGAGCACCTGGGTCTCGGTATGTTGAACTAAATTGCATGTGAGGGAAATAGAAAATGCTGTTGGCGTATGGGAGGAATCAAAGTACCTAGTTAAATCCTGATAGACGATGGTGGGCCACGATGCCCTTTGACGCGAGTATGAATTACACAAATGAATAAAGCAGATATCACCTTCCAGTCGTTCGATCTATATTGATATCTTGATCTCAACCATACCATCCAGTCTCGACTGAGTTGCGGAGTAGTCGGAGTCGCAAGGAAGGGATGAACTCACACGGGTGCTCTGTCCAGGTCTAATGTATGGATGCGGAGACCTGTGAAGAACGGCTTTTGACCATTTCAACTTCACATGCAATGCACGTCTCTCGCAGCCATCGAACATGTCCTTAAATTTACAAGTTCTTCACCTCGAAGTTCTTCCGAAGATATTCGCCATACTTTATGATCAAGAACGGCACGGGCACTAAAGCTGCCGCAATGAATCCAAGAACACTGTTTCCCCAACCCACGCCCAAATCCTCATACATCTTCAGACCAGCAAGAGGCAGAACAGCGCCAGCCACGGACCGCACGACTGCATTCGCTGCCAGCGCGGAAGCCGCATAGATGGTAAACGAGTCAACCAGATAAAGTTGCAACGCCATGAAGATGATGAGGTTGCCAACGCCAATGATGGAAGTGCCAAGGATTGGTACGATCCAGTGCACACCGTACTCCGCTGTCCAGCCATAGATGAAGAGGCCTGCGGGAAGGAAAAGGGCGCCGGCCGGAAGCGAAACCAGCCGGTATTCGGGCTTCATTCCCTCGCGAGCTGTTCCAGCTTCGTCTGCGGCTGCATCGGCCTCGGCCGCTTTCTTTTTCACATACTTGTCTGAAGTAATGCTGAAGAATACCACGCCGATCATGGAGCCAACACCTAGACCGAGGAAGGCTAGACCGGCTGTACCGGCGCTAAATTGATACTGAAGCATGAAGACGGACGTAATGGAGGTGAACATGAGGTACAGATATCCGTATACGACGGCGATGTAGAAGCCACTGATACGAAGGGTCAGCCAAGTATCAAGGGGGCCGGTATGGATGGGCCTACAATATTTGAGTGATTGGCGAGAAGGCGATCATTTTGAGAGGTCTAACGATACCGCGCTTGAAGTAATCGGCTGATGAAAGACCAATGTCAAGCTTCGATCGCAGCATCTTGTTCCCCGTCTCCTTTTGGAGCCGACGAACCTTCTTGTCCAGAATGACGGCCGCATACGTCTCCTTGAGGAAAATGACCATGATGATGCTAATGACGCCTGACACGATCGAGAGTAATCGGAACGTCCAGCGCCACCCCGCGCTTTCACTCAAAAACCCACCAGCAACCGGGCCTACGATCGGACCGAGGAGAGGTCCGATACTGAAGACAGACATGGCGACACCACGCTTCTCCTGACGGATCATGTCGGCGATGGAGCCGCCCCCGTTAGTGATGGGGCACGAGCCGAAGATACCTGCGAATAACCGGAATACGATGAGAGCGTTTAGGGTCGGGGCGAAGGCGGCGCCGATATTGAAGCATATGAAGCAGAAGTTGCAGATATGATAGACTATCGTGCGGCCGTAGATCTCGCTGAGAGGAGCGCACAGGAGGGGTCCTGCTGCGAAGCCGAGTACGTAGACTGGAACTTTCTGTTGGCCTGATTTCTGCTTATGAGCGAGGGGATTGTTCACTGACCGGAGACGACGAAGGACGCTAGGTAGGGGCTGTCATTTTTAAACTCTTTCATGAGTTCTGGGACACCTGGGGCAAAGATAGCTGTGGCAGAAGAATTAGTTTTCGCTGGAGACAAGGTCGGAGAAGAATCATACATGAAGCAAGGGGGGTGACGAATGTCATGGCACTGATCAGTGTGCATGTCATGACTTTCCTCCAGGTTGGCCAGTTGTATGGGTTTTGAGGATCGTCGTCGCCATCCCACCATACCACATTCTCGTCCTCTGAACTTTCTCCACCGTCCGGCTCGTTTGTTTGAGGACCCTTCTCAATATCTTCATGTCTATGGTTGCTCGTAGTTGATTTCCGCGCGTCTGATGCCCGTCTGTGTCTTGCTAGGGATCGTCTTCTTTGCTGTTCGCCGCGCTCATCGAGTACATAGCCCAGACTAGAGGGGATATCGGCGTCGTGACCTTCTGCGTAGGCCTCTGCCGTCTTTTCTTCTCTTGTGGGCTCACGTTTCAGTAAGTGAGGTGGTCCAGGGTCCTCGTTGTCACGTTCAGTCTCTCGACTTGATGCGCGGTCATCTGTTGTATGGCCAGTCTCCTTTTCTGATGGATCTGAAGGCATGTCGTAAGAGGTCTGCCGAGCTGACAGTGAGTATTAATACTGATGTATGTGGTTTGAGGACTTCTAGATGTGTATCGAACGGAATAAAGAGTGTTTGTATGTGCATGCTATGCGATCCGTCCCGAGCCTTGGCAACTCGTTACGCTATCCACACGCGCTTGGGTTCTTGACCATCACCTGCTGAGGATTCATACGATAGGCTCGCATACGCAGAAAGGGAGTTTGAAGTGATAGCTTGGATTAACTTACGAATGGTTCAAGTCCAGCATACAAATCTGTGGCAAATGCAAAGTAGCTGATCAAATATCACCGCCGAGCTCGAATCTGACACACAAAATATGTAGTGATGGTGAAAATCAAAAGAGGTTCTGGAGGTCAAACGACGGGCAGTCAAGCTATGAATGAGTCAGGTTTAATGAGACCCATGGGTATCGAGCAATCGATGAAAATCAAGTGGCCTGACAAGTTTAGAGCAGGGGCAATCGCCGGACCACAATGAACAGAATGTGAAGCAAATCGGAAGAAAGACAGTCAACGGGGCTAAGAGTCATACAGCACCTCTCCCACTCTTTAAGGGAATGATCCAAGCCTTTCTCGGGTTCTCGGTCCCATCATGCAGCCCCCATCCCATCTGCGCGAACCGTTGAGATGGGATTGAGCAGTGTCATACGTATTGACCAGCGGAACCTGATCACACCACCAACTGAGCACCGTACCATCAAGCTAGTCGGCCTCCCTGACTAGATCGGCGGGGAGAAGAGAGGGGAAAGGGAAGTCTGGGGTCTAGCGCAAAAAATACGGCAGCTACAACTGTTAAATCCGCCCCGAAACCCGTGCGGTTAAGGCTGGTCCGTTGGTTTGGAGTAATTGGAACTTCTGCACGGTTTTTACGCGAGGCAACGAACCAATCTTGTTGCCGCAAAGAGCTCTCTGCCGCCAAGACATCGGGGTGAGTCGGCCGATTCTGCGCCGTTGCAAGTCGTTGTGTCTCGGCGCCCGATTTTCTTGGTGAGATCTCTCCCGCCCTGTGTCGTGGCCGGCTCGCACTTCCTGCCATCCACCCTACCTGCGATGTAACGTATAAGACGGAGCTGGTGCGGCAACGAATGAGAGCGAATGTTTCAAGGCCGGCTATCTCCGGTCATTTCGCTAAAGCCGTTGACCCGAATCATTGGTTCTCAGCAAGGGATTGAACCCCTGCAGCTATGAATACTCCCTCATACGAAAATGGGCACAGCAGCAAGAGCGTGATTCTAGCCACATGTAATCTGAGTAAGGGGTTTATCTGAAGAATAAGAAAACGCCTTTTAGACTTTTGGTTAGGCCCTATTCAGCGGCGCACCCCTCTGGTTAGCTAGCATACCCCCTCTGTAGCTGATTTTGCCTAGACTCTAATACTAGCCCTCTACTCTGCTTATTATTAAATTTTTAGTATTTTTATCTATAGCTTATTAATACTACTATTATTAACTATTTTTAAAGCTATTATAATATTATTATAAGAAAAGATTAAATTTAAAAAAGAAGAAGCTATTACTATACTTAGCGCTATATTAGTAGCTTCTATTAGCTTTACCACTACTAACTTTATCTTTTTTAATAACTCCTCTACTATTAGTAAAAGTAATAATATTATTACTATTAATTTTAGTTTTATTTATACTTATATTATTAAGTATAATAATTATAACTTTATTAAGTATATTTATCTTATTTTAAATAATAGATTTCTTTTAAAAAAAGCTACTTATAAAGCTCTATTTATTATCTACTTTACTAATAACTTCTTAGTATATATTATATAAGTAGTATGTAGTTTTTAAGAGAAAGCCTTTTATTAATATACCTATTTATTATACTATAATAATACCTAAATAAAGTAATATAGAGTTTAAGTTTATATATTAAAATGCTATAAAAGCTCCTCTTATATAACTTCTTACTTATAGTAAGTTATTATTTAACTTAACTCTACTTATAGTAATTACTTTATATATAGTATATTTAATACATTAAAGTAGCTTAAATATTATAACTACTATAACTATAAATTCTTTAATACTAACTTTTATTATAAGATATATTAACCCCTCTTTATTAAAGTAATACTAAAAATTATATACTTCTAGAACTATAGTATTTAACCTATCTACTTCTTCATAGCTTTATATATAGAAAGTACTTAATACAATATTATTAACTAGCTATTATAATATTATTAATATCTTTATTTATTATTATTATAAAAAGCTTACTAGCTATATATTAATTAAGTAGCTATTTAACTAATTAGATAAATTAGAGAAGTATTAATACTACTTTAAGTAAGATTTTAAAAGCTATATTATAGCTCTTTTTATAGTACTATATATAGTAGTTACTTACTTTAAAAGCTATTCAATATCCTATTAATAGATTTAATATATAAAACTAATTTGTTAACACAGGTATAAGCGTATTCAGGGGCGTGGTATATACGCCTATGTAGTATAGGGTTATAGATGGGCTTATGTTATGATGAAATGTAATAATCCTAAGCATTTATAGGCATTTATTGTATAGAGAATAATAAAGGAAGTGATGTATTGTGATGACTCTTGTTGTTGTTGTTTCCAGGTTGCATCCTCTAGTAGGCAAAAGTGAGGGGATAGATAATCTGAAACGTAACCTACTAAACTGCTAATTACATAATGTGCTTACGTAACTATACGTATTACATAATCAAGATTATAGTTATAAGTTGTAATAAACAGAGTATTTTTATATAAGGTTTTATAGCTTAAATGTTATTAGTTTATTTTATATAGAATATTAAAGTAAGTTAAGCGTTATTATGATTCTTATATTATTATTATTATTATTATAAAAGAATGTTATATGTTAACATAATTATTTTAATATACTACTTTTTAATATATATAATACTATTAGTAATAAGTAGGCTTTTTAAGTTACTTCTTATTTCTTATCTAATAAAAAAGAATATAATTACAAATAAGTAGTTAATATTTTTATTAAACTACTTAAAAACTATAATATTAAGTATTTATAAATTATTTATACTAATTATAAACTTACTTTTATTAAAGCTTTTAACACTAACCTTACTTTCTATAATATATTATACTTTTTCTACTACTAATATATTAATATAAATATTTTCATTAAAACTAAACACTATTTCTTCTATACTATAAAGAATACTAATAGTAGTATTACTTACTACTTGTAGTTTATTTAGTTTCTTAAAGATTAAAATAATCTTCTTTATACTAATATATAAGATATATATAACTAATAAAAAGCTACTTTTAAGAATATTAACTACTTTAACCTTATAGTTAATTATACCTTTTCTGTATAAATTATACTTTAATATAAAAAGCTAATAGCTTTTTAAACTAATTAGATTACCTATTTTAGCTATACTATAATATTAATTATTAGGTCTTCTTATACTTCTATTAAGTATTAAGTTTACTATTATACTAATAATCTTAAAAATATCTCCTAGAAATTAATAGTTTCTTAAGATTAATAAAATAATAACTTAATATAATATATTAAAATATATAAAGATAAGGCGCTAAGTTAGCTTAATAAAGTCTTTAGTAAAATTAAGTATTATATTTATAATAAAGCATTTAATAACTTTATTAATAAGCTAGCTAAGCTAGTAAAACTAAATAAGAATAGCTTAATATAAATATTAAAATATACTTAACTATAAGCTTTACTTAATTAATAAGTTATATAGCTTACCTTATTACTATATTCTCTAGTTTTATAAGTAATAAAATTAGCTATTATTACTTAAAAAGATTTACTCTTATTAGTTTAAGATTTAAAAACTACTTTAACTTATAGTTAGCACTACTAGCTTACTTCTCTTTAATCCTCTATAAGTTAAAGCTAAAAGTTACTCTTATATTATTAAAAAAGCTAATAATATAACTTCTAAGTATAATACCTCTTATTTTAAGTTTAAGATTATTAATAAAGCTACTAAAGCATTATTAATACTACTATTAACTATACTACTTACTTTTAGTGAAGCTATAACTACTTAAAAAGGTTTTAAAGCTATTAAATATAATAATATATATAAAGCTAATATTAAGTATTATTATTAATCTTATAAAGCTAGTTATTACTACTTTAAAATATATTAATAATATTAAAATAATTAATCTAACTACTAATATACTATTAAGCTTGTTATAACGCTTATTTATACTTATTAAGCTTATTTTATAAGTTAAAAATAAATCTATATAATTAGATACTATATAAGATATGTATAACTTACTACTATTTAGATATAATATTAATATTAATTTTAAATTTAAAAGTACATTAGATTATCTTATTCATAAAGTAGAAGTTAGTTAAGTATAAGAAGTAATAAAAGTAGCTAAACTATAAGAAATTAAATACTAAAACTAGCTAAACTATTAATTTAAATATTATACTTATTTATAGTTACTAGAGATTATATAATATAATAGCTTTTTAATTAAAATCTGAAAAACTAACTATTAAGCTTTAAATTATTTAAATCTAAAGAGTTTTTAAACTATTTAATAACTTAGTAAAACCCTAGCTAATCCTCTAGCTAATCTAAGCTAATTAGAGGCCTCTATTTTAACCGCTTAAGTAAGCGTTTCGCTAGTTTTACTAGTTATTAGAGGCACGCGCCTCATACGCCACAGAGGGGGTGCACCAGCTAACCAGAGGGGTGCGCCGCCAAACGGGGCCCTTTCGGTTCTGCAAGACATGGGTAAGGGCATATGAGGAGGGCTATCATGTCTTGCAATTACCTGTGCTGCCAAAAACGGCGTATGAGGCCGGCTCCGTGTATCGGGGCCGATGGCCCACTTATCGCCGAAGAACAACGGGATCCATGTGTCAATACCACTACCGGAAACTTCGCGAACAATGGCCCAGATCAAGAAACCAAGTCTTCCGTTTCAGTTAAAGAATTGCAGCCAACTGATTATTGAGTAACCCATGAGGACGGGGGATAAGTTGTCCCTATCGTTATGTTTCTCCATCGTCTCCGACGTCTTCATCGTCCTCATTCTCGTCTTCACTTAATAATGGTTCTCAAAGATCTGCCCAAAAGAGAAAAAAAAAACCCACAGAATTATTCAAGAGGTCATCTACAGGGGCCTGAAGCGCTAATATTCTGTAAAAGGCCAAGCTGAATATCGTGTCGTCTTCGCAGAGTCAGAAGCCACAGACCCCTGCTTGGAGGGGCTTTATGGGACCGCTCATTCCTCACCCATCAACATCCCACGTCTCGTCTAACCAAGGCCTTATTAGCGGTTAAACAACGAAGTTCACAGTAATGACGAATGGGAGATAACGAGGTAAGAATAACAACGGCTCAAGAACACAAGGATAAGAGGACGTCGCACATTTCTCGTAACCCCATCTCGAGGTACACAGCCAGCAAGACCGACTCCAGTACGAGGGTAGCTCTTTTGAGGATCAGATAGAGTTATACTGCCCGGTGGACAATTTTGTAAGGGAGTGAAGCGGAAAATGAGGTTAGATGAAGCCTGGAGGATAGTGAAAAGTTTACTCGAATGAGAAGAACACTGACCTTTAGATGAAAAGAGGCGGCGGTGACAGCCGTGACGGCAACCACATCAAGAAGGTGCAATTCAGTCTAAGCATGTATGGAATTTCTCAAAATTCACCAGGTCGGTCGCAAAGAAAGTCAGGCGCTTTCTTTCACCTCACTTGACGCACCGCCAAAGGCAGAATTTTGATCGATGCTACCACAAACAATCCTCACTTGAGGTACCTACCTGCCTTATTGACCAGGACATAAAACGCTCCCACAAAGCCGCTCTTCTTGGTTTCACCACCCAAACAATCTTCAGTTCGGCAAGAAAAAGGAACCCGACAACTCAAAGAAATCGAAGGGAAAAAGCACCCCGTCAAAAAAGCGCCGAGAGTCTCGTCTAGGAACATCACAAGAGCTTCTGCCTCAAGACACCACAAGTATGCCTCACTTTCCTCCGCCAGGAGAGGCTGAATGCTCAACGCCTCGAAATTTCTCGTGATGATGCTGACTCGATGGCAGTGGATGAAACGACGCTGAAGAATAGGGGATCACTGCCTCAGATGAGCCACATCTCGACGCCTTTGCCTCATCCTTTCCCCGCCGCACTGCCTCCCAAGGCAGCCCGCAGGTTGATGGAACCCCCCAAATCAGGATGGCCAGATGCACCACGCAAGAACTTACCTCCCTGGGACCGAGTCGTTGACATCGTCTACCACAAGTACCGTCGCGGAAAGAGGCCTAACGTGGAAGATTTCGCCTTCGATCAGTCCGTCGCCATGTTCTTCGCTGAGCGCGGTCGAGCCCCTGACCTGGATCCCGTATCGCCATTCTTCAGACTGCCCGCTATAGCCCGCTTCAAGATCTGTCAAGATGTGATCATAAGCCACAGCTCGGAGCTCCCGATCTCTCTCACCAACAGTCGCTCGACGAGAGAAGTCTGGAAGGACGACGAGTTCACCTCTCTTGCTAGCGCCATGGAGCCTTTGCAATCGTACTTGCAAGTCTCTTTTGCTCTCCGCGCCGACATGATGGTTTCCTTTTTGATGACTGAGAGATTCCATGTCACGTACTCTCCGTTCGTCAACGCGTACTTCGACCCCCTGGCCACGCTGTGGTACAACAGATATGGTGCTTTCATGCAAGACATCATTCTCGAGCTCGACATGACGCGATTTGGCTTCGGCCCCGGCAAGCAGGCTTACAAGCTTCGTGCAGGAACGATAAAACTTGACACCCTAATCAAGTTATTCGTCGAGACACAGCTAAAGCGCTCTTCATCGCTCAAGAGCCTCGTGCTTCTTTGTCGAAGGTTTTACGGCCAGCGCCCAAAGATTTGCGCTCCGTTGGGTGCTGCCAACTCGACGCCGGACGACCTGATCGAGATAGATGAGCCAGAGGGTTCTCTGGCGGTGCAGAAGGTGGACGACGCCGTGTACTACTGCCCGGACGAGGAGCTCAAGGTTTGTGAGCCGCTGGTGCGAATGGAGTGGATGATCGACTCGATGCGTCTGGCTGGCTTCAGCAATAAGTACACGCACTCCCTGATCCGTCGAATTTTTCCGATTCCCGACGATGCAGACTGCCTCAAGCACCATTCTTACAGAGTTGCGCCATCCTCAGTGTGGCCGCGGATACCTGGACAGTCTTCTTGGATCGATGCAGGACGTGGAAAGTTGAAACTCGACGACCACTCGAGGGAGTATCTTCGCGGTCTTTACTCTCCCGAGGGCGCAATTCAGCTGCCGCCACCCTACTTTGACCCGGTCACCGGCCACATGTCGATGCGCCCGCCCAGTGAATACATTGAAGAACCATCTGCTGCTTACGACATGTATGACCGACCCGAGACCAGAATGACCACTTCTGGAAAGAGTATCAAGAGCTGTTCGACTCCTTCTGACGCCGGTAGCCTGGAGCGGAGAGTGCAGGGGGTCATGAACAAGCTTCGGAGCATGTCCCGATCAAGCCGTGGGACTGAGGCAAGATCCTCGCTGGAACAACACCTGCTTGATCGAGAGTCATTCGAGAGCACACCATTCCAGGCGAGGTCTGCGTGTTCCGATGGCTACAGACGCAGCCCCGTCGGACAGGTCTACATGGGAGGTGATGGCACGAACATCACAGTTCAAAGACCAAGGAGCGAGAGAGCCTCCAGTATGGCCAGCAAGTCCCAGACGTACTGATGTGAAACGTGGGGGAATATCGAGAAACAGCATCCATCAAGGAGGATTTGGCGAAGGGAGTTTTGGAGTTGAAGATCGTGACAAGGTTGGAATTTTGACGATTAGGAATGAGTCTCACCTCGGTGAACCTTCGGTGAGGAAACTTTTGTGAGGTGAAGGGGATGTGGATACCCGATTACGTATTTGTAGGATACCTTGCAGCACAGTGTATTGACGTCAGTGCACCCTGCGCGCTGAGCAAAAAAAGAAAAAAAAAAAGATGTGCATACAAAACGCCTCAGTGACCTTCAGAGAGCATGTTGTAGCATATCCTTTGGGGCTTATTCGTGTAAATCTCACAATCTTACGGAAACAAGAAGATTTAAGATATCTTGGCTTGGCTAGTAGGGTGAAGGAAGATCCTGTCGTAATCAATTTCTTCATAAAAGAAAGTAATAGGGAAGAGAAAAGAAAATTGGGGTATATCCATAAGGCACCTAAAGCAGGGAAACCCCGCGGTTGTGCTGTGCGCTGCTTTGATCTTATCGGGCTGCGAGTACCCCACCATCAATCTTCAAAGCTTTGCCAAACAAACTACCGCCCACGAACCTCTCCTTGCGCCCGATTGAATCTGCCTACGTACAAGCCGTATCATCCGACACAAACCCGTCGCAAAAGATATCAAGATGTCTATGCAACAGGTTCCCAACAACTTCAACGCCGAGGAGGCTGACAACCTCGAGGATGTAAGCCCTCAATCCACGGACATTCATTCCCCAGATCAAATAAGCGATGCGCTGACTCCTCTGCTCTCATGGTCAGATCGAGAAGCAGTTCGCGGTCAAGGGTACGTAAACCCATGTTGTAAATGCACTCCGAGCGAGAAAGAAACAAGCTAATTCGCTCCTGTCCGCAGTCGTCCAGCACATGGAAACATACTGGAAAATCCTTGAGAAGGTCAAGGGCTCTTCGCTGCGCCTAACCAAGATCGACGACGAGATCTACGAGCACCTCCAGACGGACTTCCCCGAGTTCGACCCCGCTGCGACCATCAATGAGGATGAGATGAAGAGCAAGAACGGCAAGGAGCGCTGGAGGAAGTTCATGATGGCCTACGAGAAGAGGGTTGACGACTACAACTTCGGCACAATGGTTCGCTCCAAGCCTGATGTCGAGTACGGCCAGCACGACGTCATTTTCGGTAGGTCTCTTCGCAGACGCTGTCTGCGCTGTCTGAGTGCTGGAGGGCATAAGTTGACTAGAGATTCAGTGCCGCGCATGCAGTTCTACGCCATTGAGATTGCCAGGTAGGATCAGCCAACCCATTTTACCCTACCAAAGCCAAGGCTGACAGTTTATCTCAGAAACCGCAAGGGTCTGAACGACTGGATCTACGAGAAGGCTCAAGCAGGCAAGGCCTAAAGTGCGTTCCGAACAATATCAATTTGTCAGGCTATCGCAAGCATCCGAGTGAATGAGCCGTCAAGATGTTGAGCCACCTTTGTGGCCAACGCATCGCAAGCGAAAGGGATCCTGTCAGTCGCCTCAGATGGGTATCACGAGGCGTTTTCTGGTCTCTTAGAAATGAATTATGAGGGAAGAACCGCGAGCCGGTCGCTGACTGCATAGCATCGCACTCGGCTCTGGATCGCTGCCATGAATTGGAGTTTCGCTCATATACAGCGTACGGCGGATGGGACGCATCCCGTCCAAGCCTCGTTTTTCACTCTCGACCTTCTCGGTCAAGTTTTACGTCAAGCAAATATCAACAAGAATCTTTCATATTCGATGCTGCTCTTTGCAATTGTGACGACACAATACATTGTGTTTTCGGCGCTCTTTCACGACGGGGGATGCCACTTGCGTACAAGACACGGCTTGAGAAGTTTGTGCGTCAAAGAACTCTCTGCAAGGCTGATGCGAGTTCGAGAAACTTCTGTAAAGGTCATCATTCATGGTCCTGTCTTTGATTCAAAGATTTCCGAAACTCAGGACTGTCTCCCTGGCTTTCAAGAACATTGAACAAGACCCCAGCTCTCTGAAAGACATGTTAATGGTCTAATGCTATTGCTACTGATCGCGGAGAGTTCCTTTGCTTCGTTTCCTCTTTCATTCCCAAATCCTACTTTCGTTGCCCTTGTCATGGACTCGGAGATTCTCAACAAAGAATGCCTACAATGCAGCTTCTTACCTACGATTCAGAATGACAGCCGAGTGCTACTTCAAGAGGATACGCTTGCACATAGGCACACAGGCACACCTAGCTGGAGTCCACGATGCAGATATCGTCCAGCCACAAAGAAACTAGCAGGCACCATATGCGCATCTTCTCCCTCCAGCAACCCACATCGAGAATCACTACCCTCGAGGGTAGCACCAACTCGCCATGCTCCTCAAGACCCGCCCAGGTCTTTTCTGCCTGTTCTTCCAGTGACTCTTTCCTTCTAAGCTCTATCTAGAGATTTCTCTCTTCCATCATCTCTGGCACCCCCAAAATCCTGCATTTCCCTAGGCCACAGGACAATCCCATCGCCATGGATCAGGATCCCGATTCACAGCCCCGGGAAACGGCTACCTGGAAGCATCTCTTCGCTTTTACGGAGTGGAAGCACTTGTCAATCCTGGTTCTTGCCGTCGTAGCTGCCTGCATTTGCGCTGCAGTGAAGATAGGGTACGCGCTCATCCTCGGTCAAATTTTCCAGGTCATCGCAGACTACGGCAGTGGCATCTTGGACGACGCCGACGCTTTATCCCAGACGTCAAGATGGTGCGTTATTCTCTGCTGCGTCGGATTAGGAGCACTGGGTGCCAACGCCTCACTCATGTCGTCTTGGATCCTCTTTGGCGAGTTCCAGGCTAGACAGGCTAGACAGAACATATTTCAGGATCTTCTGCATCAGAGAATGTCATGGTATGATTGCCAGGCCGATGGAACGCCTAGTATTCTTGTTCGGGTCGAATCGTGAGTCGTCATCCCGTGAAGCTCCTGCTCCTTGCTGACATCAACTAGACAAATCCGCGATCTACAGATGGCAACGTCTCAAGTCTTCGGTTTCTTGCTTACAGACATCTTCTCATCCATTGCCTGCATCACTGTGGCTTTCGCATTTTCTGCGAAGCTGACTCTTTTCTTGATTATGACGGCGCCCATGTCTGCAGCCGTCATGTATGTGGTAAACCGCAAGCTGGGTCCCGCGATCGAAAAGCAACGGCAGCATCTCGATGACGCTTCTAAGCAAGTCAACGCCTCAGTCAGCGGTATCGACCTGGTCAAGATTTATAACGGCTTCAACCAAGAGGTGTGGCAGTATCACAACACCATCAAAGCCTCGAAGGAGCAGCACATGATTCAGGCTCATTGCAATGCCATTCAAATTTCCTATATGCAATGTTGGATCTCTTGTCTCTTCGTGGGCGGCTTTTGGGTCGGTCTTTGGCTGGTGACGCTCGGCGCCAACGCAGGACAGATTCTTACGACTTTCTACGCGACTTTGACGGCTTTTCAAGGAATAGCGAATGTCATCCCTCAATGGCTCATCCTCGTCAAGGGTATGTCCGCCGGCCAGCATCTCAAGCAGACGACAGGAATCTCTCCCGATAGACGACCGCAGAGAGCGAGTCAGGCCTTGGTCACCCCGGAGACCTGTCATGGAGATATCAAAGTCAAGGAGGTAAAGACGAAGTTCCCTCAGAACCATATCATGGGTATTTAAGTAACATCTTCAGGTGACCTTTGCATACTCGTCGAACCCTCAACACATAATATTCAGCAGAGTTTCGCTTCACTTTCCCGCTGGACAGACATGCTTCGTTGTCGGCAAGAGTGGCTCCGGAAAAAGCACTCTCGGCAGCCTCTTGGTCAACTTCTACGACACCTGGTACGGAGATATACTTGTCGACGGCCGTAACATTGGCACACTGGATAAAGAATGGCTCCGCAGGAATGTCACCCTGGTCCAGCAGTCTAGTGTCATCTTTCAAGGCACCCTTCGCGACAATGTTACCCTCGGTCACCCTGCACCCAACTTCGTCTCCATGGAAGAAGTTAAGCAAGCCTGTGACATGGCACTTCTGCAGTCTACGATAGCAACCTTGGACCAAGGTCTAGACACGTTGATCGACTCCGTCGGCAGCGGTCTTAGCGGTGGCCAGAAGCAGCGTCTTGCCATTGCGCGAGCCAGGGTCAGAGATCCTCCGGTTCTGATTCTTGACGAGGCCACTAGTGGACTAGATCAATCCACCAAGCAACTCGTCATGGAGGCGGTTCGCTGCTGGCGAAAAGACAAGACGACAATCATCATCACCCACGACTTGTCTCAGATTGCGGACAACGACTTCGTCTACGTCTTGGAAAACAGAGAGGTTATCCAGCAAGGCACTCGGAAGACATTGTCAAGAGCCCGAGATGGCCTATTTGCACGAATGGATTCAGGACCAAACGAAACTTGCATGGAGATGAGTCCAGAGCAAGCCGATATGTCGATGGGTGAAGTCAACGATGAAATGACAGAGTCCCAGATTCAGCACATCCCCATTGGAATCGAAGGGTTGCACTCTTTCAGAGACTCTCGCCAGGCTCGCGCTACCAAGAGATCTACTTGGTGCAACTCCATGGAGCTCACCTCCGCCTACACAAGCAAATGGGGTATGAATGCAGCACGTCCAAACTCGTTGACTGGGTTCAGTAGGGCTCTACCTCTTTCGGAGAGCGCTGATATTTCGACCGAGTGGGAGAGTATCAGAGGTTCTTTCTACGACCAGGCCCCCTCCCATCACGATTCTGTCCAAGCCCCGAACCGGTCAAGCATAGCCGCCTTTCAGATCGCAGGTGACGCCACACGGAACTCTCGCGCAAACTCAACTCGAGTACATCGCCAGCCAAGTGCAACCCAGTTCGTCACCTCTGACGATGCCGAAAGTCATGGCACCCAAGACCTTGGCCAGGAGACAAACATGGAGGTAGCCAAGCCTTCATGCACCAATGTCGTGCCCCTCAGTTCTGTCCTTCGCAGTGTTTGGCCAAACTTGTCAGACAAAGACAGGTCCAAACTTATTGTTGGTCTCTTTTCCTGCGTCATCGCCGCTGGATGCAATCCTGCTTTTTCCTACTGCTTCGCTCGACTCCTCGCCACTTTCTGGGAGGATGGGAATAGACTGGCTGCCAGCAAAGAGTGGGTCATCTACATGATCATCATTGCAGTCATCAGTGGTGCTTCGATGTACCTTGAGCGATATGCCATGGAGGCTGTTGGTCAAGCCTGGATCTGCTCTCTTCGCCTCGAGGGACTGAAACGCATCCTTCAGCAGCCAAAGGCATGGTTCGACGGAGACACGAACTCCGCGCGGCGCATCAGCGAGTCTCTAGACCGCGATGCAGAGGAGATGAGAAACTTGGTTTCTCGCTTTGCACCAATTGTTCTGATGGTGACTGTCATGGTCGCGGTGTCGACACTCTGGGCTCTAACAATCTCTTGGAAGCTGACGCTTGTAGCCATCGCCACGACACCAATCATCCTGGCAACCGTCAAGATCCTTGCTTTCACCAGCGCCAATTGGGATTTGACTTGCGATGAAGCTGCGAGCAAAACGGCATCTTTCGTGAGAGATGTCCTCGTCAATATCCGCTTCACCCGAGCATTTACATTAGAGAAGCACTTCAGTCAGCGGCACGCCAAGTATATCAGGACGATTTACGACTTCGGAAGTGAAAGAGGTTGGAGAATAGGCGCGCTGTTTGGTCTCAACCAGTCCATGAACTACTTCGTCATTGCCCTCGTCTTTTACTATGGCATCTACCTCTCGGCTGATCAGACCGAACTGTCGCCTGCCAGCCTTCAGCAAGTCGTCAATCTACTCCTTTTCTGTGTCGGCCAGGCAGGCTCGATGGTCAACTGTATTCCGCAACTCTCAGTCTCGCAAGCCGCCGCATCACGCATGATCCGTCTTGCTACCTTGCCATCCGAGAAATCCGAGACAGACGATCGCCGAGTTCTCAGCACCCTGTTTCCAATCAATATGCGCAACCTCGAGTTCTCATACCCATCGCGCCCCGAGCACCAAGTTTTGCACAATATTTCTCTGCAACTTGACCAAGGAACTTACGCGGCAATAGTCGGTCCTTCAGGATGCGGCAAGAGCACCATTCTTTCTCTGCTCCTGGGAATTTATCAGCCATCTCGATCGAACTCTGCCGGCCAAACCCAGATGGCTCATTTGACCTACGCAGGAGTCGAGTTCAACCGAATCAGCAAATCTCAACTTTGCTCTCTCGTCTCTTACGTGCCGCAGACGCCGTTCCTCTTCCCAACCTCGGTCTCGGAGAACATCGTCTATGGCCTTGCAGATGCATCAGACCTGCGCCATCCCAACAACTTGCAAAGAGCTGCCCAGGCCGCGGGCATCCACGACTTCATCATCTCACTCCCTCAAGGTTACAATACGATGATCGGCGATGGTGGACAAGACTTATCTGGAGGTCAGGCCCAACGCATCTGTATTGCAAGAGCCATCGTCAGAAGACCACGTCTATTGATCATGGACGAGCCCACTAGCGCACTGGATGGACAAACTGCGGATTTCATCAGGCAGACTATCGGAAGAGTGTTGAAGGATCAGGTAAACAGCGGTACGAGTGTCATCGTTGTCACACACAACAGAGAAATGATGCGCATGGCTGATCGCATCATTGTTATGGAAGAGGGTCAAGTGGTCGAGGAGGGCGGATTCGATGAGCTGCAGCTCAGGGGTAGTGTGTTTCCCAGACTCATTGAGGAAGACCTCTAGATAGAGCCAAGAGTCTTTTGCAACTTGCAACTTGTGTGTATATACAGTTTATAGTCAACATCACTCCCGTCCAATGTGTTCCGCTTGCCAAGATGTGTTTCTGGAAGCTTTCCTTCTGTACATCCCCATCTTCTGATGCATTCAGAGAACCTACGTCCGCAAAGCACCACCCCCTTTGTCGCATACAGTTCACAGCCGCACATAACTCAACGCAGTCTAGCCTCTACATCGTGATGAGTCGCCCACCTCAGCCCTCGCCCTCATCGGCCAATGACACGTCCTTCAACCACCCATCCATCCCCCACGCTCAAGAGGCACTAGAAGATTTTTTTCCTTCCTCTTCCGCCACTTGAAGAAGGAAAGAGCAGGGTAGTTACCGCTTGAGCAGCTTCCTCAAGGACTGAAGACGCGCCCCTGACCGCTCCGGCTTTTCATCCCAAGCTGTTGAAGGGAGAGACGAGACGCGGCAGAACGCCTGGGTTGAATAATATTCACCGACCCTGCCTGAGAAGCAAACTTTTCTTCCTGCCAACCCATCCTCACTCGCTTTACCATCGACACTTCCCCATACTCTATTCTCTCCTTTGCGTCGCTACATTCGCTATCTGTGAGCGAGATCAGCTAGCTCTCACTCTGAGTTTGACTATATCCTGTCGAGCTGTCTCCTTTTCAACAGTTCTCAGGCTTCCAATATTACCTGCGAGTTCCAATTTCTCACGGACTCGTCCTTCACTTTACAACTGCCAGCCCAGATCGTGAGTGCTGCCCTTCACCCCCATATCTCTCAATTTAATCTGACATCAGAAAAACGCAGGGAAACTTTCATCTCTTAAGTCTGTTCAAGATGGAGAAGATCGATCACAGCGGTCTTGCCGACGGCAAGACCATGGGCTACATTGCCATGGTTACGGAGACTTCCAAGTCTGGCCGTCAGCCTCCCGTATCAGCTTCCAGTGACTCGGCGTGGAACTCGGGCGGCGCAGTTGCAACCCGCGGAAGGAAGAAATTGAGTAAGTTCAGCTTCAATACGATTTGACTTTTTGAAGTAAGTCACTTACATGAGAAACTAGCCACGGCCACTGCCGAACCTGCTACCACGAAGACTTCCAATGTTGCGACCTCTGCTACCGCAAAGTCCACGAAGTCCGCCGAAATCACTTCGTCATTCAAGACAGTCACTAGGCCTACTACAGGTGGATCAACTCTGTGGTTCACGGAGCCGACTACTTTCGCCACGACTTCGGCTTCTGCTTCACAGACGGCGACCAGCGGGCTTGCAACCCCCACCAACAGTGGGGTGCCAGCTCCGGAGGCCAGTGATAACAGCGCGCCCAACCCGCAGTTAATCATTATCATCCCCAGTGTCGTTGGTGGAATCATTCTTTCGCTCATCGCCATTGCCATTCTCAAGGCATGGTGTCGTAGCCGTGAAGCGGTCAAAGATGGCAACGCTCGCCTGGCTAACAGCAGCCTTGGTCGGTGGGAACCTACATACGGCGAAACTGCGCACTCGCCGTCCGCGGACGAAGGTGCCTTCCCTTTTGGTCATCGCGCCCCTTGCCCACTTCCTCGTCCGGAGGGCATGCAGAACGGAAGCGCTCAACAGAACCAAGATGAGTACCAGCTTCAGGACCTGACCCCGACTCAGTACGGCGGCGGAACGCAGACGGAAATCTTTCCAGCCTATCAGGATCGTGGTTCGCGTTCTTATCCTCAAAGCACCGTGGGTTCCCAGCGCAACTACATTGCTTACCAACCTCACCCGCAGCACCAAATCCAGCTTCAACCGGCCGAACTGCCCGGTGACAGCTATATTCAGAGTCCGACTACTGCTGGACCATCTATCCAGAGTTCTCCTTCGGCAACGACTTACATCCAGCCTACTTCTACTACTGGATCCCCCGACCAGGCTACTCCTACCGATGCCTACCCTCAGAACCCGCCCGCTGGCACGTACCACCAGACTTCTCTCACTGGCACTTACATGCAGGCCGTCAACCAAAACTAAGAACATGGTTCGCGGAAAGACCGGAATTCTTCGTTCATTCACCAGCGAACTACCGGCATAGGAAGGCTGACGAAGAAAAGGCGATGAGCTGTTGGATTAATTCGACCGAGCGTACCAAAAGTCCTCGGTACAATTTGTTGGATTACACACAAAAGGACACGGACGCGCGCAAAAGAAGTTTTTGTTTTCAGTTATTCCAGGTAATGGCGGGGGCAAGGGGATGAGGAGAATGGAATAAGAGGTTCTGAGGTTTGGTCAAGAAGAGAGGATTGGTCAGGGCATTATAAATAGCCAACAAGGATCAAGGAATCTCACCGATGCCGTGGAGCATCGGGAATAACAGGGTTTAAAAAAGTCATTAATCGCGTCTACTCCACGTAAGCTTGGCACATCCAACGTGGATGTGACTTTGATTTTGGGTCTTTGCCGACATTTTGCCATCTCGGTGATCTCACACTAAATCTCACACCGTGTCTGTGTCTGCTTCAATCGGCTCTCCAACGGTAGGCTCCCCAGACCAGACTGGACCAGATCAGAACGGACCAGCTTAGCATCATCACGACTCCATCATTCAAAGGCTAGGAATAGCCGGTAACCGATGCACCACTCCGTCTCAAGATGACGCCGTCTCTGCGGCTACTTGAGTCTTGCGCACTCGCCCAGACCACCCGGGAATAGGATGGGAACGAAAAAAGAGTCGAGACGTAGATGCCGGTTCATTCCCAGATTGGTTAGAGATGGCGGGGACAAACGGACGGACGGACGATTCAGGCACTTGTCAAAGCAGCTCGCTTGCTCATGGCCATGCGACCACCCCAGATGACCCCCGGGGTCGACTCTTGGCAACGAGACGACCCCGTCACTAAACCCACGCGGGTTTCCATGCCCGTGGTTTGGTTTCGGTCTGGCCCTTGCCAGCATCATGAGAGAAGCAGCAGCCGCAGTCTGTCTGTCTTCGATGTCGATATGCCAGTTTGAGCGAAGTGGAACAACCTGGCAAGCCGTAAGTGTGACATTGGCGGCATGGATGGACCGTCTGTTGGCGATCTGCGACTGCATCTACCATCAAATTTTGGTTCCCGCCATCCCCTAGACCGGGACAGCAGCATCAGGCAGGATGACGAGCGATGACAACCTGAGTCCTGAGCGAGCTAATTAGCAGCGACCCCGAGACGCGCCCTCCCTGACTGAGGCTGATGAGGTGGTGTCGCTGCACGCGGGCTGATCCTCCCCGCGTCGCTTCGCTTCGCTTCCCTCCCCTTCCCTTCGCTCCGGCAAACGGCAAACACGGCCGGGTCAGCACAACACATCATGTCGAGATCCGTTTCGCTGAACTCGATATTACCAAGATTCGCGGGGTACCGTCCACAACTGCGCATCCGAGGCACAGCACAGCGGACCGGGATACGATTTGCGTTGGCCTGTCGCACGCAGACGGCGGACGAGGTCGGAGACCGGCCTTCCTCCCGCCTCGAGTTGGGCTGAGCTGAGCTGCCAACAATCGCATCTCCCATCTGCCATCCGGCATCTGGCATACTCGTTCTCCAATCTGCAGTCTCCAATCCCCATCCGGGACCCTGACCGCCTACGAATACGGATAGGTGCCAGCGGTGCCATGCTGCCAAGGGGGGAAAGGAGCAAGGAACCAGTCGTGTGCAGATTGACCAGGCCGGGCTTGCCAGGGTAGGGCACAGCCAGCCGGGTCCCTCTTCTCTTATTCCCGCTCACCTGGCCGCATATCCGGTCCTATAATATAACATCCTGCCACGCCCTCGATGCAAACTCCAGGAACGTCACTTGCCTGCTTCTCTCGGCTTTTGCGCACCCTCTTTTTGGATCTCATCTGTGCACCGTGTGGAGGCCGGTCATGGATTCCGGAATTGTCAGCAACTTACTTGCCTGCAGATACTTAGGTTTCTGATCAGGCCGCTGCCGCCGCCTTCGATATAGCCCGTCGTCTTTGCACTTCCTCACACACCTCGGCAACAATGACGAGCTCAAGCCACGATATCGAGAAGGCGCCCCAGGGCTCTGGCGCAACGGGGCAGTCACCCTCGCTCCTCCAAACCTCTCTCCAACCTGGCTCGGAAACCCCTCCTCTTGACGAGAACAGCCCCATCACCTACCAATACCTCACCTTCGAATCGGTTATTCCTGAGCCAGCTTTTCTCGAGTCACCAGAGTCACCACCGCTTCCACCGGCCCCGGATCTCAACCGCTTCTCCAATCCTCTGCAATGGCCTCACAGACGCAAATACCTAATGTTGGCCCTCTCATGCATCGCCACCTTCTTGACAGCCTACACTGCTGGATCCTACTCGCCCCCGGCCTCCATCATGGCTGCAGACCTGGACACAACTCGTCTGGCAATGCTTACCGGTATCACCACATTCTGCATAGGTTTCGCCCTCTCGCCCATGGTTCTGGCCCCCCTGTCAGAACTCTGGGGTAGATATCCCGTCTTCATCATATCCGGTGTGATCTATGTCATATTCCAAGCCGTCTGCTCCGTGGCACCAAATCTTGCCGCTATGCTCATTGCTCGCTTTCTGGTGGGCGTGGGCGGCTCCGTCTTCAGTTCTGTCATTGGCGGCGTCATTGCGGATCTTTGGGCAAAGGAGCAGAGGAATACGCCGATGGTATTTACCGATTTCCCGTGCCCTGGGTTCATATTAGTAATTAACATCACCCCAGGCCATCTTCAGCGGTGCAGTCTTGGCCGGGACGGGGGCAGGTCCATTGGTTGCTGCCATCATGACCAAGCGTATGGGAGCCACTGACCCGACCATGGCATGGGTTTGTCTCCCGGCTGTTTCTGTTACACCATACACGTGCTAACCAATATCAATCTAGAAATGGATCTTCTGGCATCAAGTCATCATCGACGCGGTTCTCGTCATTGCTCTTGCTGTTCTCTTCAAAGAAAGTCGAGGCTCGGTCATTCTCTCCAGGAAAGCTAGGTTCATTAACCACTGGTACGAGCAACTCGAGACGGCTGGCCACTACGGCGTGTGGCTAGAGGACACGACGAACAACACCAACAACACCACGACGGATTCAACTTCGGATACTGATACCCAAGGAGGCTCATGCTCCGGGCAAGAAAAGTCGTCTACAACGTGTCGCTCAAGTCCACGATGCTCAACACAGCTGTCGCCGCAAAGACTTCGCTGGCTCGTAAAGGAGGACGAGGAGAGAGCTTCTGTCGCCACGATGATTTCCGTCTCCGTGTCCAGACCATTTCTCCTCCTTTTCACGGAACCTGTCGTCTTCTTCTTCTCCCTCTGGTGTGCTTTTGCCTGGGCTGTCTTGTACTGCACATTTGGCAGCATCCCACTGGCATTCTCGCGAACGAGGAATTGGGATATTGAGCACTCTGGGTACTTCTTCAGCGCCATGATCGTTGGCTCCGTGGTAGCCACCATCGTTGGAGTCCTGCAGGATGAGCTCCTAAAGTTGCCTCAGTGGCGTGCCGATGTTGCCCCAGACAATTTGTCTTCATTCTGGCTCTTCATGCGACGACGCTTACCCGCCGAGGCACCTGAGTCGCGTCTTTATTTCACTTGTATCACAGCCACCCTGCTACCCATCGGTCTCTTCCTCTTCGGATTCACTGCTCGCCACGAGGTTCATTGGATCGCTCCTGCAATTGGCATTGCCTTCGCTACGTGGGGTATCTATTCGGTCTACCTGGCGACATTCAACTATTTCGCCGACATTTACCATAAGTTCGCTTCCTCGGCATTGGCGGCGCAGTCCTGCTGCCGTAACATCTTGGGCGGAATATTCCCCCTTGTGACCGGTGCATTATTCCGAAATCTCGGCGAGGCCCGTGCTGGGGCACTGCTCGGCGGCATCGCCACGGGCCTGACCCTCATTCCTTGGGCGCTCGTGTTTTTCGGTGAGAAGATCCGGGCCAAGAGCAAGTTCGCCATCGTGAGTACTCCTCATCCTTCTGCCTCTGAAACGTATGAAGCTAATTCCTTGTGAAAAGAATCTCGAACCTCAAAGATGAAAGGCGCGACTATCTACTTGGATGATAATAACGACATGTTGGTCGCAATCGGCACCATACAGGTATGCCGTCGATTTGACGATGTGATTTTGCATAAAAGTAAATGAAGATACCCAAGACAAGATTTCAAGCCATGTCGATCATCTGCACAGCAACGCATTTTCTATAACATCATCATTTGCAACGACTTCATACTGCATATCTTCAATGTTCGTGGGCAAAAAAGTTCCCAGGCATTTTGAACCAACTTCATGAGACTGGGTTCCCCGCCTTACAGACCAGATGCGAGTATTAGATAGACACATACATAGATTCCGATAATGCAGAACTTCTCTGTGAAGGCCATACAGGTGTCTAAAACTGTTCAAAACCACTGCTCAATTGTATATACTCTACGAGCGCCTGAATCACATGCATTGTCCTCCAACCCATATCCACGAATCGCTCAGTCCACATCATCAGCATTCGTATCCGCCTCTTGCGGAACCGGGCCCAAATGCTTCTTGGCCTCGTCGAGAGCTTTGGTTTCGTCATGGGCGTCCTGTTGCTCCTTGTCGGGCGGCGGCAAGTCTCCGGCCTTGGGCCCATCAGCATCCGCCTTGAGCGTCCCGTCCTCGTTTACGTCGGTCTTGTAATGGATGGTGAAGAGGACCACGAGGTAGACGTCGCCGGTGGAACGGTTCCGGAGAACATATCTGAGCTGGTGTGAGCGCTTCGGCCCTTCTTCCCTGCAAAGAAGTAAGAACGACATGAGAAGTGAACATAAGAAAGGTTTCCTCGTTTCCAGGAATGGCGTGCCATGGCGTAGTGTCGCTGAATTCCGATCCCAGTTCCAATTCCAAAATCAGTCCCAGGGGAGGGGACTGAGTACCATGAAAGAATCAAAGCGGGGTAAAATCGCAGGTAAAACACACAAGAACGGCCAAGCCTGGAAGAGAAAAGGGGTAGTCAACTCACCTCAGTCCCTGTCCGTCCCAGTACTTCATGATGGCAAGCTGGAAACCGGGCAAGCGAAGAGCCAAGTTGGAGAAGTCCAGGTACGGGTTGAAAAAGTCCATGCCGTACGTCTTGCCGTACTCAAACACCCACTGTTCCTTGCTGTCTTTCCTCAGCGCCCACTTCATGCGCTCTTTGGACGTTGCGGGCGCACCGACCGTCTCCCGCATCTCCAACCCGTCCTCGTCGCCTCCCTCCTCAAACCAGAGTCCTCCCTTCTCCTCGTCGTAGGTGCCCGCACCCGCATGGATTACGTTGAAGGAACTCAGAGCGGGCCCGTAGAGGTACGGCGTGTCCGCGTAGGCGTCGCCCTCCAGGCCGGGGTCGATCCACCATTTGACGATGTTCATGGCCGTGTTGAAGCCCGGCGGCAGACGGTCCCTGATGGGGTGGTCAAAGTCATTGCCGAACTGGAGGTCGGCGGCGGAGATGCCCTGCTCCGAGGAGCCCTCGGGCTTTTTGGGCGTGAAGCGGAAGGAGATGCTGTACTGGTCATTGTTGCTGGAGTGAGGCTCCGTGGAAAAGTAGGATGAGGTCGTTGGTGATTTGCGGGGGAGGCCGGCGTAATTCTGTATGCGGACATTGAGCTCAATGTCGGCGAGTGACGTGCTGATTTTGATGGGCTTCGGGGTGTTGACTTGGACTTCGGTTTGTGAGTCTGCGTCATAGTTCGGGCCGGCCGTCACCCGTAGGATGTACTTGTCTGACATGGTGGGTGAAGGGGAGGGGTCTTATTTTCGGGTAATGAGTTTGGTCCTGCTCTCCGCCGTAATCAAAGGTGTTTGCTGATACTGACGGCGATGAAAGTGAATGCAATCTCAGTCCGGACGGGGATGTCGTCACAAGACAAAACGTGTGAATCCGGGGACTGTGCTGTAATGTTTCAGGATTCCAACCAGAGCAAGCCTGAAGTTTGCTGTCTTGGTCCGGGACCTCAATGAGCAAGTCAACAGCAAGAGTAGACTGATTTAGCCGCGTGCTGCTATCGTGAATGAAGTCGCGATTGGGACGAGGTTAAAAAAGTAAACTAGGTGTCGTCCCAAGATGCGGAACTTTGGCGGCAGACAAAGTTCTGAAGGCGGGTTTACAGCTGGGTGGTTCAAGTGTGAAAGTCAAGCAACGCCAGGATCCTTGCTCACCACCACCACTCTTCTAAGGCGGAAGGATGCGCCAAGTTTGGAAGGCTTAAAAAATGGGGGGAAAGCGAGCCGCAATGACGTTGAGATGAGAGACTAAGGGACTGCCACTTCGCGTACCAGTAGAGAAATGGACCGACCGTCTGGCTGTTTCCTGCCTTACCTCATCCAACCAGAATAATTGCATGTGAAACAATGAGGGGTGGCGTTTTGAATGCCATTCGAGCTGGACAAGATTGTAAAGTTTTCGTCATTACGTCAGATAAAAGCGGGAGCAAAGAAGCGAAGAAAATCAGCAGGAAATAAATTCTCGCATGGCGCTAATCTCACTCAACATGTGTTTTGCGGGGTGGGGTGGCGGGGTCGAGGTCAAGCTGTTTAGCTCAGTTCACAACGACAGATTGCGACACTAATCCTGGGTAGCAAGCTCTGTAGGAACGACCTCTATTTGAGCGCGAGAGCTGACAAGCATACCGTATTTTAGAGGCGTTACTGAGTTATTCATTCCCCATCTCTAGGCTAAGATGTGTAAATCTGTAACGTTCGCATCTGCAGCGAAGCCCGCCAACTCATTACACGGACACAACACTTCCACGTCTTCTTCGATGCCATGACTCTCAACAATCTTCCGCCTGGGGCTCACGGTGTAATGAACTCGTCGATATTGACCCTTTCAAAGAAACTTATGTGACCAAATGTGACCCAGTATTGCGCAAGTCTGTCATGGGAAATAAGCATAAGCTGGGACTCAATGTATCTGTCTGGAAAGCAAAGAGCGGTTAGCATATATTCATCATCGACGGAGTGAGGACGCTGGCACTAACCTTCCATGAAACCGGTTCCAGCCACATGTCCCTTGCTCTTCACAACTCGTGTGCCCTGGAAGGGAGGTTCCTGGGCTAGCCCTACAAAGCCTGCCTCGCCGAGGTCGTCTGCAACGAAGGTATACTCTCCCCTGGGCACATTAGGGTCCCCGGTGAGCTTAATTGCTTCCAAACGGCCTCGGTGTACTCTCGCATCCGTACGTCGGCGTGTCCACTCGTCGTCCGACTCATCAGCAGAGCGCACCAGACCAAGCTCCTCGTCAGATACTTCTTCGTCGTCCGGCTGGTTGATCAACAAGAACTCGCAGCCGTGACCGCTGTAGTCGCCTACCCAAATGCCGCGCCATGGCTTGAGCGGTGTCGGCGTGTAGACGATGGGATCCAGCGTCGAGTAAGTGACAACCTCCTCGCCGATATGCACTCCTGGTAGGCCTCGCGCCGAAAGATTGGCATGAATAGCCCGTATCAGGCCGGCAGGGCCCGCGCCGACAAACAGCCCCGCTGCCGGCGCACCGGCCATCTCCATCCAATGTCTGATGCGGAAGGCTTGGTCAGAAGCCTCGGCTCTTCGAGTCGGCAGATCTGTTGGCGTGAGGTCGTCACCGTGCAGTCCTGAGACAACGCCTGCCACACGATGGCGAGCCGGAATCGCTGGAGGAGGCCAAACATTGCCATATGGGAAGAGCGTTCCCATTCTCGAAGTGGCCGTGGCTGCATCGAGCGGCCGAGCCAGGAGGAAATTGCTGAACATGGCATCGGACCGGTCGTTAATTACCATGGGTACTTCAGCGGCAAAGCGATTCTTCATCGCCTCATAAAAGTTGCGCGACTGCTCTCGGTAATTCGGGTAGAACTGGAGTACCGGTTTGTCTAAATGGAGCTTGACTTTCGGCTCGAACGCATGGATCATGACGGTTGTATCGGCAGGCCAGTGCTGGTATGTAGTGCGATTGCTGATGGCCAGCAGCTGATACCCTTCAATGCATCCTCTCCGCGGGTCGTACCTCACGACAATCATCTTGCCCATGAGGTCGCGGTCGCAGAACCAGATCTTGTATTTGGGTAGAAACCATCTTGGATCATGGGCTGTGTACAGCTCGTGGTAGGTACTACACGGGTACGGTGTGTCGAGTTTTACGCCCGGCACGTTCGTTTGCACCCTTTGATACCAATGGACGTCGGATGCGGCGTGGGCATGGAGGCTACGACAAGTCTCGGAGACAATGGCCAAATCGCAAGGCGACAGGTATGCGAGGATTGAGTCTATGAGTTCAGAGGGCAGTGAGAGAAGTAGGCAGCCGTCGGCTGGCGGAGGATAAACGTCTAGCAAATGAGTTGCAAGTTAGATGGCGGTTGGACAAGGAGCTTAGTGTGAAAGACAGCGTACCAGCAGGCGTCACGTTATTAAGTCCAGTTGGAAGCGGGTAATAGTCGGTCTGAGGTGATCCAATTGTTTTCCGGCGGTCCGTAACATCGCTTCGCAAACCTTCGTCGGATACGTATGGTAGAATATAGAGGTTCGACTCAACTTCCGGGTCGATGCCGCCGTAGTTGCTACTCGAATTTGAAGTGGTACTGGGTGCTGGGGCAGCGTCGTCGGAGGCCGAGCTGGAGGCGGGAGGAGTAGAAGCCATCTTGTCGGATGTGACCATGTCTGGACAGGGACAAAGCAAGGCAAGGAGTCGTGTGCCACACAGTCGGCAACCGTTGCCGATCAGGGCGAACAGCGTCGTGCGATGTCCAGGGCAGGAAGAAGGTTGGCCAAGTAGGTGTTATGGCTTTCCTTTCCGGATGGACTAGGCACAGCTTTATGGGGACGACCTTGGAGGCGAGACCAGCCAAAAGGGGGTGCTGGGCGTTCGTTGGCTTTGGTGGCAGGTTGTTGAGGTAGGATGGTGCAGGTCGTCGGTTCGATCGGTCGGTCGGGCGGTGGTTCGAGGACGGGTGGCTTATCAAGGTGTCAAGTCAACAAGTCATGGAGGACGTGGTCGGGCAACAATGATGCGTGGGAGGCGTGGAGTCGTCAGTGTTGGGGTCATGACTCCAGACTTTGTGTCTCCACGTCTCCGTCGCCGTCTCCGTCTCCGACGAGCCGGGGTGAGGGTGTGAAGGTGACAGTCGTCGTCGCGGTCGGACCAGAGGTTCCCTTGGTCTAGCAATCGGTGGTGGTTGCTGTTGCAGCAGCTGTGAAGTCCCGGTTACGGCATGCCAGGAGCCTGGTAAGGTGTGCAGCTGTTGTCGGGGCACGACTAATGCAGTGCCCGGCGGATGGGATCTGGTTCTCGGAAGAGGAAGGCTGCTCGGGGCGTTGCATGAGGTGCAGCGGTGCTAGCTGGGGTGGAGGATATGCATGCCGGTGGTGGTGCTGCTGCTGCTGCTGCACCTCTCACTCACTGGAAACCAGCCCGGGAGGATACGTTCCCGTCAGCTCCTCACCGGGCTGGGTCACAGCGCACGGGGCACCGGGACCCGGGGGCAGCAAGATTGCGGGGAGCCTTTTGGCCATATTGGATGTACGCACATGGTTGCGTTCACACCTTACCTACCTACCTACCTAGTACCCTACCTGCGAATACCTAGCCGATACTATTGCCGGTAGGCGTACGGGAGTATGCCGGCCTCCAATTGAGGTACGTGAAGCTTGAAGTTTGCAGTCGGGCGTTGAGCTCCCCTGACAAAAGAAACAAGCCCCTTGCCCCCTTTCAACACTCCAATCTCAACCTCAGCTCATGGCTTGAGTACCCTGTGAGCTCTCGCTTATCGGACGTTATGCCCGATAGATGCAACTGGGCCTAGCCCGGCGATAACGCCATCGATAAGCCTGGTCCTGTGGTCCTCTCGCGGTGCATACAGCAGCTTGGAGCAACACCACGGTGCCTGTTGCCGCCCTTCAGGCTGCCATTTGGAGACTTGCTCCCAGCATCCAGCAGACTGAACGAACATCTCGTTCTTATCTCGAGCCTGGATCCTGTTCCATCTGATGCTCGTGCAGCTGCAGCCAGTCAGTCGATCCACAACCTCGGCGTGGCCAAGCCGGCGGTTCTCTTGTCGTGCAACCAATGCATCGTCAAAAGGCCTTGGCCAAGCCTGGCTTAGAGGAACCTTTGCGAGTGGAATATGGAGAGGAACCTTTGCTGAATGGGAGTGAGAAACATCCATTGGTCCATGTCGAAACTGGCCCAGTCTCTTTTGTTCGTCCGTCTGAGATGCAACTACAGACGTATTAACGCATAAGGGACCAGCCCCTATGCATATATATGCATCTAACGGTGTACATACAGGTCAGCGAGAATGTTCACCAGCCTGCCCAATTAGGTAGGTAGGCACCCAAGACATGGCGGGGCTCCCATCCACGTCTCCTTCCTCTTACCACTACGTCGTCCGCTACGCTACGGCTCACTTCATTCCAATTCCCTCAGATCCAGCGAATCTCGACCCTCGACCCTAACCACTTTCACCTCAATCCAAGGCTGCCTGACCTTAACCTTGCCTTACCTCCCACTTGAAGCCTCGCTTCCCACCGGCCCTTGGGTTTTTCTGACCAGGCTTAATTACGCTTATCCTTCGTTCTGGGAATCACATCATTTTCCCTAGCCTCGCTCCAAAAACATCCATACCACGCCCCTCACTTGGCAACCATATCTGAACCACCATCCAACGTCAGAATCGACTACCTTCTGGCAGTCATCATCCGCTGTCAACGTTGCCGTGCAGTCGGCCTCGCCGCCGGCTCTCCCCACCACAACACCTCCTTCACGACGGACGCGCCTTGCTCCAACAGCTCAGCTTGCTTGAGCACCTTGTCACATCGTCTCGTCTCGCATCAACGCGTGTGACACTCGCAATCCGATTTTCTCGGGGCTACCATAAGTCATTTAGCCAGCAATATAGTCGCTCGGTGTCTTGGAATCCCGGCCATTCGCTGTAGCCGTTGCCGGAGTGCCCACTTCACCTCCAAGACCGCCCAACGTCTCCTTCCTACTTGGTGATAGCTTCCGTCCGCCACTGGAGGGCTGCCCTACCAACCCCGACCCGACCTCTTCCTGTCTCCGGAGCGCGTCAAGACGACACGCCTGAACTTCCAGACCGCTTTCTGCAGTTCCGACCTTGGAGGACCACCGGAACCTCGGAATCCCGCCTGACCAGCATCCTGCAGGAAACCATGTCGTCCTTGATCCCTCTCATCAGCGACTTGCTTCCCATGATCATCTCATCCTCCTCGGTTCACATCACAAAAGCAACAACGCTACGCGCGCCCGATACAACTCCAGAACCAGGCCCCGCCAAAGAGGCCGATGCCATTGTCAGCAAAAGCGATAAGCTCTGTGCTTCTGGTATGTTACACCCGGCCGGTCCAGCCTGCCTCTCCCCCTGCCCAACCAGCACGCAACATACTTCCTCACTGATGGCGCTCCCTGTGTAACTATTTTAAGCAGTTTTGACTCTCCAACCGCACACTACATCCTCTGTGCGTCATCACGGCGAGCAAGGTCAGAATCGTGCCCCCGTTTTATCCCCTCTTTCACGCCCCCAACCTGTCACTGTACTGCCCTCCCGCCCCCTTGTGATGGGTCTCTAATATGTGCCAAGATACCATTATTTACACAACCTCCGGCACCGGAGTTCTACTTGTCAGCCCGGGCGCGGCGCAAGAGGTCAAGCGACATGATATGGAAGCCGGAGACTTCGCATTCGTTCCGGCTTGGACGGAACACCAGCTGCTTAACGAAACAGATCAAGAGAATGCGTGGGTCATCACCCGCAGCGGCTCGCAGCCGGTGGTAGTAGGCCTAACAGACTGGGGTGGTGACCGAGCCAAATGAGACCGTTTGCGAATGAAGTTGGACTGCCTTGACAGCTGGCTTCCTGTGGTATCACATGGTACAACACTCCGAGTCTAGGAGTCACCACTGAGAAGCGACTTTCCCTTTCCCGCACGCAAGTTCATTTTCTCCATGGTGTATTTGCCGAGCCGCTTGCCTGTCATTTCTCGCAGTATTCTCGTACGACATCGACAATACGCCCTCTGTCCTGCACTGAGTCAAACACCTGCCCGTGGTCTCTGGAGGGGAACCAGAGCACGTCTATGTCCGACCCAGCTGAATGTCGATGCTCGCTTCCCAAACCAGTCACTCCGGCAGCATTGCGCCGACCTTGCTTCCCTTCGCCCTGCGCACATGCGGGGTCGCTTGACTTCCCGTCTGCCAAATATTTGGCGACAGCATGGCTGTCAACTATCAAATCCTGCCCCGATAAGCAGACGGTGATCTTCCTTGTTGCGGTTCGCCCATCGCTCGTTGATCCGTCAGTTCGAACCGCGTTTTCCAATTCTGGATGGTGTCCTGCGAGCTCCTCGGCCCAGATGACATTCTCCCTCCAGAAGAAGTGTCTGCCGAGGCAACGGGCAACCCCTGGGTCTGTACTTGCAAAGTACCATAGCTGCCACTCATTGGCGCGCTTTGGCTGACGCCGTGTGAAGTTGAATGCCACGTCGGGGAGATGGAGTAGTATGCTCACGGGATCGATGAGCACCGCTCGTGGGATTCTCGCCTGCAACTCCGGACAGCGCAAGACATGCGTTGTCAAAACAGACCCATATGAGTGAGAAACAAGAACAAATTTGTCCCACGAATGACGGTCGAGAATCTCGGTGAATTGCTTGAGAAAAGCGTCCTTTCCCAGAGGAGGCTTCGTCAACCGAAAGGATATCGGCAAAATCTCGAGAGCTATAACCCCAACCTGGCCCTCCCCTCTGAATTTACTGGCACTGATTTCAGCGAGAAAACGAACGTACACCCAAAGCCCTATGCCTATGCCGTGGAAGAAGATAATAGGAAGTCGATCAGATTGTTGATGTGGGCGGTGCCAATAGCTCAGCCCAGTCGAAGAGCGACGCTGGGCAGCGAGTTGTTGAATTCGTGGTGGGAAGACGGCAAGGGTGTCTTCTCTGCTTTGAGCGTAGTATTCAAAGCCATTGAACCCGAGGAGAACATGGGTGCCGGCGTCCACGACAGCCATCATGACGTACCACCAAAAGCTGCGATACTTGGTCTCGATGTCGTCAAAAGTAAGCCGTAGACTTTGCGCAGGGCCACGACCGTCCTCAAATGATCTACCCAGCAATTGTTCAGTCCGGCTGATGTATCGGCCCACTTCCTCCTCAACTTCGCTTGAAGTAGGGTTATCCTCAGCGCCTTCGTCAAAGAAGGCCCAGAGAAGAAACTCGTGAACATTGTCACGGCGAATGTCCTTGATCTCTGACCCCAGGAACCACCCACGGAGATACAACTCCGGGTTCGGAACTGTGGCCATGCATCGTTCAAACAGTGCGCGTCTCGCAGCCGGCGATAACGGGGCTGGATGTTTCGCGGCTTCCCCAAGGCGGATCTTATACGGTGTCCAGACGAATAAGGCATACGCTAATTCAACAAACATGAAGCCGACAACCCATAAAGCAGCGGCCGTCCATCGCGGGTCTGGTGAGCCGAGCTTGGGACCCAGGAGGCAGACGGCGAGAGCGGATGCGTATGTAATGATGGGGTATTGCAGGAAGAATATGCATATACGAATGAAGATGAGTTCGTGCAGCGTGTGTCCAAGCATTTTGGCTTGGTTTTGTGTCGTTTGCGATCAA